GATGTGACACAATTGTTCCGTAAAATATACAAATTTACCTCATTGTTGTCAATTTTCCGAGATCTTAATTTTATTTCAAATTCTATAGAGAGTGTTAAAAATGACGCCGGAAAGGGGATCATTTTCCCGAAAATTTCACTTTGGAAAAACCTCGCGTAGACTTTGAAAATGTTTGAACAGCGTTGAGGAAGGCAAAATGTGACAGCAAAAAAGATCTATAGAAAGAGGAAAGACACATTCACTGGCGAGAAAACATAAAATTTCAGCTAGTGATATTCCAAGTTCAAAATAGTCTTTCGTTTTTTCAATCAGTAACACCGTGATTCTAGCGTAGCTGAGGTGGATTGAAACTGAATTTCAATCCAATGTTTTCTCGGACGTCAAATGTTTTTACTGTAACAGATGGAAATGACGTAAGCTGCATATTTCCAATTTTGCCAGTTAATGTTCTGCGGTCTTACATCTTTTTACCACATTCTCAAACAAAAATGACAGAGATCGGGTCACTCTTGATTATATTGCGTTAATTTGTACTGATCAAAATTAAGCTTGTAAACTGAATCTGTCATAGTTTGATATGGATTTCTGACCTGTGTACTTAAGTTTTTTACGGGATGAATTGATTGAGAAGAATATAAAAATTACATACAATTAGCTCAATTCAGAATGGACTTTTTTGAAAAATCTTCTGCTAAGTTGGTGATCTGTAGCTCGCTGGTTTGAAAAAAAAAAAATGGTTGTCCATCCCAGACCAGCAAGCTACAGACCTACAGCTATCTTCTGCTAATTTTCTTTTCTCCAAAATATGTTTTTGAGAAATATCGTTTGATTTTTTTAAAACAATATAATTTAAAAAACATACATAATCGTATTATTAACAAATTCAATTTGTCCAAAATGCTACTATTACCTTACAAATTTGAAAAACAATTATCTTTCGAAAACCGTGCATTTACGTTGTATTAAATTCTATCTAATTTTTCATCACAGAAACACACGTACTGCTCAACGCGTTGTCGGCTATTCGGTTGTTATCGGGCATTCGGTGCAAGGAAAGCAAAGTTTAGAAAACATAGGTGATTTTAAATTTCTTAATTCAACGATAATTGCGTACTTTAGCAAATAAAATTTGTGATCTTAGGCAGATAAATGATTATACTTTAAGCAGCAAAAAGAACAAACCAAATCACTCTCTTTCTAAAGACATACAGCTTTTACAAATGATATTTTATTAAAATTTCGGAATATTTCATCACATTTTAGCTTTTGTAGAAGTCAAAATCAGATTATTCTATAAAACAAAACGGTTTATTTATTCTATGGACAATCATATACCTGAAGATAAGCAGACTGAGATCAAAAATCCAAATGAAGGGTTAGTTAACAGGCATCTAAAATGTCTCGTTAGGTTAAAACATGTTATCGTCAACAAGGTTGATGTTGCCGGATAATTCGGTTTTTACGGGTGTACGTTATCGGAAACTCAGGTTAAAAAGTTTCTTTCAGCTTTAGAAATAGATTGGGGAAAAAAGTAATTTATAGTCCGTCAATCCTTGAAAATAGCAGACGTAATGTGTTTTAAGGATATGCAATCCTCAGCCATGAAAGATAACTCTTAAAATTATTATTTAATTTAAAAAGTCTCAACATGAAGCTTGAAATTGAAAACTATTCATGCAACAATTTCCATTTTATGCATCTTAATATGATTTGAGGTTTTTGAAGTCTTAGAAAGGGTCTTGTAAAAAGTTGACGTTTGTTCCTTATACAAGTAAAAAATAAATACAGTTTTAGATGAATAGGATTTTCTTGAGTTTAACCTTAAACACCAATGCCTTTTAGCATAATATGAAATTGCAAGTGATTTGTAATGTCTTGCAATGATAGCACAAGCTTTTTACACCATGTATTATATAAATTTTGGAAGAAAATAGAAGACCTATACATGTAGAACCAAAAAAGTATGTTTTAAAAAACATGCAAATTTCCCTAAATGCCTGGATACCTATTATTTTTTAACTTAAAATATATTTGTTGATCAGTTTTCAATTAGAAAATGCATAGCTGATGTTTCTATTCGTCTTCTGAGTATATTGGAGATTTGATTATTTTCCCTATGTAATTTGATAAACTATAATGATTAACTTTGAAGAAATACAGTGGGTAAATAAACTAAATATACATTAATTTGTGAATTCAGAGATATATTTGTCAGCATTTTCAATTACATAACTGCCAAGGATCGGACTACCCTAAGTAATTTTTTTTTAATTTTCCAGCTTTCCGTTGTTATTTTGTTTTGATACTCGTACATGTATATAAATAAGAATAATTATTATAATTATGATTTTATAATTTAACTCACTATCTGTTCAATCATTTTCCTGTTCTCCATTAAACATTATATATATGACATGTATATAACAAATCTATAGTTGCTTTAGTTAGTCACGTCTTCCGATCTAATACTAGTACGTCATTTTTGAAAAACATCGTCACTTCAAGTGCCCAAATGAGCCTAGAAGGTTAAATGTTTTTATGTCCAATATAGAGCAATAACATTGTTTGTGTCAAACCATTTGATTTTAAGGTTTAAAATAGAGGAAATAGAATGAGGTGCATATCGCAAAGAAATATTTCTTTATCAATTAAATGAAAAAAGCGTTAAATTTCCCAAACGTGAAAAATACTTTGGGGGGGGGGGGGTACTGGTCGATTCACTTCACTTCTTCATATGTTTAACTTTTTCTACAAACTGTTACAGTGATCCGCGTTTTCAATGAAGGGGGGGGGGTGCCAAGGGATTTTTTTTATTTGCTTGAGTATAAAAATTCAATAACTCTGCAAATTCCAGGTGAGGTTCGAACCTCCCCGACGCCCCCCCCCCTCCAGCTCCAGGCATGAGCTCCACCTACACATTGAATTATCTACGGGTTTTCCATTTGGCCGATAATGATACAATGCACACTGTGGGTGTGACCGATCGACAGGGGGTGTTTATTCCTTCTTGGCCACTAAACCGACCTCTGATGTTTTTAGAGGTCCGTGTTTTCTCTGTTCCAAATTTATATTGTTTCAATAGACTTTTGAGCTTCATTACTGTTCGTTATCTTCATAATTTCCTTCCGTCAGTAACGCTTTTTGAAAACTAGTAAAGTCAATCTCCTTTTTTCCCCTCAAAAGTTAGAATTCTAAGACATATTTGGCTTAACACCCTTTTGGGAAATTCATTAAACAACCCTTGAGTTTAGATTCTTTAATTGCTTGATACCGAACTAAAACATGTATGTACTTATAGTGCTAACAAAAGGCGGTTAACGGTGGATCAAAAATGCAAAGTCAGCGAATAAAGACGAAGCAAGCAAAACAGAGACAAAAGCTAAGAACAGTGCGTAACTGTGAAAGGCAATCACAGAAAACTAAGAATAAATTACTGTGAATTCAGCAATTATTGCGAGTCTTTTATATTGCGAATAATGCAATGTAAGAATCGCAATAATTAAATCTGGAATCTGTATTTTGGTTACAATAGAGATTTATAATTCAGAGGTTTTAAAACTTGTACCATATTTTCGAACAGGTCAAGATCATATACATTTCAGTGATTATGAGAAACGCCAAAAACACTCATTTTTTTAAGTTAAGTATTCTAAAAAGAGACAAATGATAGCCAGAAATTCGAATTGCGTGCCTGCCATTATAAATATTTAGATTTAATGAAGTTTTCTGTTGTTTCTTCACATTTTCCTAACCTATGATAACCTTTGTTTCCGATAACAAAAACCGAAATTTCCGATAACAAAGTGAACCATTCAACCGTATTTCCGATAACATCCTAAAAGTTAAAAAACGGGAATTTTTACCCTTTAATTGCATCCTTGCGAGATTCTGACGATGTCGCATTGTGGACAATAACTAATGTTAGGTAAATATAAGGATTTTGAAGAAAGAGGCTATATGCAGCAATGCCAATCGGACAAAAACTTGCAAAATATAACAAATTTGACTTTTAAAGTCTTCCCAAGACTCACAAATACTATAATAAGACATATTGGGGCTTTATTTTGTATCTGTATTAATTCTTGTTACAAAAAAGCACAATCAACGTTCTCTGTTTCTATTATTATAATGTTTATTTGCAACAATTTACTAACCTGTCAAAAGTTGTTATCCACCGAATGCCCGATAACAACCGAATAGCCGATAACGCGTTGAGCAGTGTGAGAAAGGAAATTAAGAACTTTCTTTTCGTGCAGTGAACATGTGCAGTTTTCCTCTCACATCTTTGTCATTGTTTGTAATCATGGTAATTATTGTTATCTTAATTACTACAACAATTGCTTTGTCAAACATTGTAAAGAAAAAGTTTTTAAGACATTAAAATTATTTTGATCTTAGTAAATGAACGCAGTCTAAATTCTGATTTTCAATGCCCACTTTCAACCAAGTAAAGAGATTAAAGAGAAGCTTATTAATTTCTATTGTACTTTGATTAAATGTTTTTGAAAAAGGAATAGTCTCTCTCTCTCTCTCATGTCTCAGCAAGTTAATGACAGTACATATCTGGGGAAAATAAATGGAAAAGGATTTATTTACAAAATGTGTCTAAATGAATTTCAAGTACACTTTAAAAGATCTCAAGAATGTTAACAAACTTTTATAATGTACTTACTCGAGATTAGCTTAATTCAGAATGGACTTTAAAAAAAAAAGTCTTTTGCTTAGTTGCAGATCTGTATCTCGCTGGTCTGAAAAAAAAATGTCGTCCATCCCAATTTTTTTCAGACCAGCAAACTACAGACCTACAGTTATCTTCTGTTATATCTTTAAAAAACCAAAAAAAAAAAAAATTAATTAAAAAAATACATAACCGTATTATTAACAAATTCAATTTGGAAATATATTTTTTTTAATCGTTAGGCCTTTGTGAAACGGGTACGGGTCCCTGGATCCATGCCTGTGAAACAGTTAAAAGTCACGTGATGCGGTTCAGTGTGCGCGCACCAGAATGTTTTGGTTAATGGCGACATCCACGTGACAAGGAAGGAACGATATCAAATAATTATGAAAAATCATTTTCTGTGTCGCAAGGACCATTGTCATGTGTTAATCCTTTTTTTGAGTTCATGTATATTCTTACTTTGCGTTTGTCAGGAGCATTGCAGCATTAACAATGTTGACTTATCCGCAGTTGAAAGGTACTACACTCTATAAAGTAGCTCGAATTTCCTTGTGAATGTTGGAGATTTAGTATTCGATTAATAACCACTTTGCCTCTATTGTTAAACGCCATCTGAGAACTGAATGAAGAACCTTTGTGAGATAACAGAGATGGTATATGTAATATAATGATCTGTATATATAATATTGCATACAGAGGTTTACAGGTTTATACATAATGATTTAATATGTTCGATATTTTGTCCAAAGGTCTGGTAAACGTCTAAACGAGGTATCGGGTACGTTCGCCCTATCTACCTGTTCGCATGAGTCCGTTCTCGCAGGGTCCGTTCGCCATAATTCTTGTTTGCCTTATATCTTGTTCACCCTATATCTCGTTTGCCCTAATATATATACAGTATATAGCAAATATTAACATTTATTATTAATTTAATTCAATATTTTACGATTTGATGTTTTTTTTTTTCAAATGTTGCTACAGTAATTTTTTTAAATTTAATCTTGATTAAATAATTCAAATTTGATATTAATGCTTTTTACATGCTAAATTGGTTTAATTATAATTAATAATGTCACTGTAATTTGGAGGTTCATATCCGTGTTTTTTTACAATCTGTGATATGTTTTGAAAAGAATTAAAGGACTTAGACATTAATAGGCCCTGTGATTATGGAGCTATATTAATATAAGAAGAAGGAAAATGAACTGAAATTCATCAAACTACTATGCATACATCTGTTGTCTCCCATGTGCAATTTATGTATCTATGTACATATAATTTATTGAAAAAAAAATCCATTGGTTCATTATTCAACTTTCTGCAATATAAATAGGGCGAACGAACCCTGTGCGAACAAGTTTTAGGGCGATTGGACTCTGGACAAACAAGAAATAGGGCGAACAGCGTCAAGGGCGAACAAATTTTAGGGCAAATGAACATACAACCGGTAAACAATTTTTTATTTACTTGTGTTTGATATGTTGTTTGCAGGTGATTTATTAATACCCTTCATCTTAACTTATGATTTACCTCCAAATAGTACAAGCATATATATTGACAACAATAACAATATGGACAGGCAGTAAATCTGTCTGGGATTGTGTGTGTGTGTGTGTGTGTGTGTTTTTAGCCCACCTGAGCTGAAAGCTCAAGTGAGCTTTTCTGTCAGATCACCTGTTGTCCATCGTCCGTCCGTCTGTCTGTCTGTCCATCCGTCTGTAAACTTTTTTACATTTTCAACTTCTTTTCAAGAACCATTGGGCCAATTTAAACCAAACTTGGTACAAAGTATCCTTGGGTGAAGAGGAGTTTAAATACTTAAAATAAAGGGCCAAGTTCCCTTACAAGGGGAGATAATCAAGAAAAGACAAAAATAGGGTGGGATCATTAAAAAATCTTCTTCTCAAGAACCACCGGGCCAGAAAAGCTGAAACTTATGTGAAAGCATCCTGGGGTAGTAAAAATTCTGAATTGTTCAAATCATGACCCCTGGGGGTAGGGCGGGGTCACAATAGGGAATCCAAGTTTTACATTGAAATATATAAGGAAAATCTTTAAAAATCTTCTTCTCAAGAACCACTGGGCCAAAGCTGAAACTTATGTGGAAGCATCCTGGGGTAGTGTAGATTCTAAATTGTTCAAATCATGACCCCCAGGGATAGGGCGGGGCTGCAATAGGGAATCCTTAGGGAATGCAAGTATTAGATTGAAATATACAGGAAAAATCTTTTAAAAATCTTGTTCTCGAGAACCACTGGGCCAGAGAAGCTGAAACTTATATATGGAAGCATCCCGGGGTAGTGTAAATTTTAAATTGTTCAAATCATGCCCCCCTGGGGTAGGGCAGGGCCACAATAGGTATTACAAGGGGGGAAATCTGGTAAAGAACAGCATGGCCAAAGTTACTCAGGTGAGCGATGTGGCCCATGGGCCTCTTGTTTATTTATTGTTTTGTTGTGTTTTGACATTTTACATACCACTGAACAGTGCATGTAGACAAATTCCGAAAACAGAGCCACCAGAAGTCTGAAAAAGACTAAAATTGGAATCTGTGCATGCACACACAGAGAAAATATGTCAATTTTTAGGCAAAAATCCCTGGTCTTCAAAAGTGCAATGTGTTGGAAAGTCTGGCAACATGTCAGTACTCTGAAATGAGATTGTAAAACTCGATCAATGGAATGGAAGAGATCATACTTCTCAGATTTTAGATTCTTATTGCAAAAAAGAGCAATTTACTTTCAAAGGTGATATTTTATGTAAGATCAATCATTTTAGTGAAAATAATTATTTGAAGAAATGAACGAGCATAAAAAAGGGTAAAATATGGAAAATGGAACAATTAATATATATTGTAACTAATTAAAAACCTAGATGAATTTTACAAATAAATTAGCATTTCAGGGTTTTAAAAACCTAGATGAATTTTACAAACAAATTAGCATTTCAGGGTTTTATAATTGTACATGACAGCTAAATTAAAAGTTCATTATAATGTTCTCTTGCCATAGTTATTTAAGATTTTCTATCACATACAAAAAGCTGTCACCATAAAACACATTTTTACTCTTCTCTATAACCACAGGATGCATGTAATAAAAAATTGGCATTGTTAAAAAGTTTAAATCTTTGGCTTTAAGGTCAGACGACACGTTCCTAAAAAATATATAATTTTTCCCGAGAATTTGTCATTAAATTATTGCTACTTGAACAAGTTTCCTCACCAAAAATTGAGGTACCTTACCAGGCATTTGGGCAAGATACCAGAGGGTGACATTTCTTATAAAATCCTTATTGGTAATCTTTTGAAATACCAACGTCACAATTTTTGGTGTACTTATTTTATAAAACATATTGAAAACAATTTAGAAATCACAAGAGAATGACAATTATGAATAATTTTTGACATAATACCAAGGTATTCAAAACATATCTTTGAGGAACGTGTCGTCTGACCTTAAGATGGAAATAAGTCAAAACATGCAGAAATTTACGTTTGATGCAAGTTTGTTTATTAATTAAAAATTGTCTGAAGCAAGCTATGTGTCTGAGTCATGGTGAACTTATCCTAGTTGATTACATACCAGCCTTGATTACACAAAACTTTACTTGATTACATGTCAGGCTTGATTATTTGATAACATTTGAGGTTTGGTTACATATACAAAGAACAAAGTTTTATGTATTCTTGTGTTTTATGGATGTACATGTATTATAATTGTGTTTTATGGATGTATTTTGTGTTTTCCAGATTTGGTCCATGGGAGTCTAGGTCAGATGATGGTAATATTACATATCAAATAAACTTGTGTGGAAGACTTCCTGTTGGTACAGCAGGAACAGTGAGGCCAGAATGTCACTCAGATACTGTGATGTGTATGATCAAAGATGGTCAGGCACTCTCTATTGCCAATTACACCAATACCACATTGGTAGCTCCATCCAACAAGGAGCTTGCAGAGGTGTGGATCATAAGGAGTGGGGACAGCTGCCCGGAGATGTCGGGAGAGAATCTCAATAGTATCATCAATCTCAAATGTGGAAAAACTCTAGTATGTATATTGCTTGCACCACTGCTTGTACTGACTTATATTAAAGAGGCTGGGGGGTTGTGGCCATTTTTAGACAATATTGATCTCCTTTAGAAGAAGAGCTCCATATGAAGACATAGAAAATGATCAAATTTTAAAACTAAAATTTTTGAAATTTTTCTTTGCCAAATGATAGTTGACAGCCTAAGATATCATATCTAAAAAATTAAGTTAAATCTGGTGGTTAATTAAATTTGTGGTTAATTTGTTGACCCCCCAGCCTCCTTAAACCATACATCAGCTGTCTTACAAAAGGAAAATTAAATGATAAAAAATCTTTCCCAGTGTTTATCTTACTTGTGACTCTGAGCCAGATCAGCCTCAGTTCTATACCAACTATGATATATAAACTGTGCATATACTCTTCTATAAGTCTGACACATTATTTAATTATATTTGTAATGTTTGTTTTCAGGGAATGCCCAAGTTTTTATCTTATACCTACTGCACATCATATTTTGAATGGAGAACGAGTTATGTTTGTCAAAATATACCTGTCTCTCATCATGAAGTACCCTGCTATGTGTATGATGAAGATGGTAAATTACATGACCTAAGTGCACTAGTGAAGACAACAGGAGGTTACTTGGTAGACTCGGCAGAAGGATGGGACTTCTACATTAATGTCTGTCGAGACATAACATCAGGTAAGGCAGATTGGAGGACCTTTATTCTCCATCACTCTCACCAAGTAACAAAATTGGTTTTTAGTTGGTTGAATTAATCATTATTCACAATGTTTAATAGTAACAAATTTTTAACTCATCTGATTATACTCATCGAGATCGTTCCAATTAAAGAGCCAAATGTTGACCTCTATTGTAAATATGTATATATTATTATTATTATTTTATATATATATATATATATATATATATATATATATATATATATATATATATATATATATATATATATATATACATTGTATGTGTGTGTGTGTTTGTGTGTGTATGAAATATAAAATATTAGATGTAGAATTTTTCCAGTTAAAGGTGATAAGACATCCCGCTGTCCTACTGGTAGTGCTGCGTGTAGAATGAACAACAATACAGTGATAGACATGGGACGTACCACACAGAGGTTAAAGATGGACACGAGTAGTCACCTGACTCTGACTTATAGCTCCAATGTCACAGTACCTGGATGTACAGCCAAACCTACAACCACTATACAGTTTGTTTGTCCAGAGACAGGAGGGGTATATAACATTTACTCCCTAGTATAAAACTACATACTCTGAGTAAATATTTCATTGGATAAGAGAGTTACTCATATTATTGTTGTGTATTTGTTTCTAGAGTAAGGACCCTGAGCTTGAGTTTGATTTTAACTGTCAATACAGAGTCTTATGGAAAACCGAACATGCCTGTCCGGAAGTGTCCGTTTCTTCCTCCACCTGCCACCTCAGCAATCCACAACGGAATATTGATGTGGATCTAACTCCACTCACCAACTCACCAGGTACAGTGGTCTCTCCACACAAAACTTACATCAAACCTTGTCTGTCATGGTACTTTATAGATTTCTAATAGTCTCATAGGTTAGACTTGTGGGTGAATTAAAAAAAATGACCACCAAACTGAAATTTTTTGGAAAAATTCAACTACTTATAACATATTTTTCACTTATATCATCATATTGCACATGCATTCTAGTTTAAATTCCTGAAGTGGCAATAGAATAGACAATTGGATTAAAAAGTTTCAGAATTTTTATTAGTAAGATTTCTTTCGAAAAAAGAAATTTCATTACACTTTAAAAGACTTTCTAAAATACATAATCACAAGAAATTATGGTTTTTTATGCTTCAAAATGGTAAAAGGGGTATAAAGGATTAAATCTAGACCTTGATTGCATGAGTATCTTCTCTTGTATATGTAACAAAAATTGGCTTTTTGATTGTTATTTTGCATAATTTTTTTCAATTCTGGTTTGAAAAGTTTTAATATGAAAAAAAAATATGATGCAATAAAATTCCCCAAAATTCACTCTTTTGTCCGGTCAATTCTTTAAATCTAGAATTTGAAGTGACCCTATGTTACATTATTGTGTTGCACTCCTGACGTCTGATATGTATTTTATTTAACATTGCTTTAAAAATTATAACACACAATAACCCATTCTTACTTTGTAAATCAATTTGTTGTTTTGATATTTTTCATCGTTTACGGCAGGTTTTTCATATTTTGAAGACCTTAAAATATGACCATTTGCAAAGTGTAATATATAGAAATTGTATTTAAAACTAGACGAGCTTGTTGCAAAGCAACAAATAAGTCTTCCGTTTAAATCTCAAGGAGATGAGATTGAGATCTAGAGACTTCTACAGTCATATGTGCAAAAATGAGCCATTTACCATTACTCTCGGTGTGACCGGAAGTGACGTCATTTTGACGACTTTTAATGGTCACCTTAGCTGCTACTTGTCATTTTGAACAACTTTTCTTCTATGAAGCTATACAAATTCTCAATACTTTTTGAGATATCAGGAAAACACTTTTGGCCCCTCTAGCTCCCTAATGTTAGGGGCCAGGCCCTTATTGTGGTATCCTTTGAAAGATCGTAACATTCTACACAACTTTTGTTCTATATGTTTTAACAAAATATTTACAGGTAAAAAGATATTATAGAAAAAGTGTTAAAAAATTTAAAATTCCCGATAGGACTTTTTTTGGGCCATAGTGAGTGCCGACGTGCGGCACTTCCGGTAAAAATGAAATGCATTATGCATATCTACAGACATAGGTCTACCATACCTGAAAGTTTCATGTTTCTAACTAAAGCCGTATATGAGAAACTCTGGGGACAACCCGACCCTTCGAAAACCATTAAATCGGCAATATCTCCAGACCGGAAGTGACGTCATCAAAACAGAAAAAAATGCATAAGGTTCAATTGATGTTACATAAGTCCTGAAAGTTTCATGGAAATCCATCGAGCCGTTTTTGAGAAATCGCGTGCACAAAATCGGTAAGAAAAAAAAACAATAAAAATAAAAGTGAGAAAGAAACCTAAGAATAACAAGAAGGTCTTCCGTTGAAGACGGAAGACCTTAAATATATAAAATTATGTGAAATGATGAAAACTATTCCCTGAATTGACTGTAAAATTTCTGTAATTTGTTAGTAGACATAGTGTTTTGAACATTATTTTTTTAGTAAAGATAGTTAAAAGGCATTGGAAATTATAAAGCAGTTTTGTTGCACTCCTGACTGCAGTAAAATTTAAAATTAAAACCATAGAACAAAAAAAAATCAATAAGTGTTGGCAACATCAAGTGGTACATTATTTATAGTCCAATACTTCATAATTAAAACAGATGAAAGTATTTCAAATTCGCATTTTATATGGAATTATTCCCTATTTATGCCAAAAAACTAGCTTAAATGTATGTTTAGAAGATAAAATATATTTTATAGCATTTTTTCCTTTAGAGGACAAACACAGTAACCCACCAGAAAAATCATACTCATCATTTTTTTTCTTTATTTTTATTCTTAGGCCAGAGTTTTTTTATTTTCTGTTTAATGGGAATTTTTAAGAAAAAGTCAGGTCGAGGGGACGAAATAAAATAAAAATAAAAAGTTCAAAATTTGTCGAGTCGAGACCATAAAAAAAAAATAAAACCCAAAAATGGTATGAATTTTTTTTTTAATAGAATGTTGAAAAATGAAAGAAAACACAATAAAATTTTGTTTATCATTTATTTGGATTTCAAATATGGATAAAAAGATACAACTCCTAACTATATGCATGTGTCATCCTACTGTGGTTAATTACACTTGTAAATTCTAGTATGAAAGCAAAACAATAAAATTTACAGTTTAAATTATTATATAGCAACAATAATGTTGGATACACAGATAACAGAAAAATCCACACTGCTTAAAAATTTATAGATGTCGTCTTTTGGTCATCTCCTACAATAACTGTATAAAATTTATAAAAGTAATGATAAGAAATATTTTAAGCTACATATATTATGATTAAACAGAAGTTTGGAGAAAGATATGGGGTTGATAGCTAACTTGACAATGCATTCCTAGTATAGGACAAACACATTCTTGAGGTTCAGATGGAAATTTGTCAGCTGAAATTATTTGACAAACAACAGCAGTCATCTTGGAAGTCTTCTGAACTCTTCACAAATGGTTGGGTCTCCACCAAGAAATCAAACTGCACAGAAAATGCATTGTTTCTTTAAGATACTTTATTAATATAACCAAATACATGTAGTAGTTAGAAAGTAAAAGATAAAAAACAGTATTTACATGAGAGTATTTTCTTTTCTAAATGAAGATACAAAACAATTTTTAAGAGTTTTTGATAATAACACATTTCTTATATTATAAATATAATAATTTTGTTCTTTGTTCAATTTGCATTTAAAATATTAAATTGGACAATTTGTCGACTTCATTCTTTCTATCTCTACCTTTCCACAGGATAATGTGTGCAACTCCAATTAGCTGTCACTTGTCAGTGTTAGTTTTGAATATTCTTTTCCAATCGAAATTTTGTTGGAATCCTGATCTCATTTAATTCAACCAAGAGACATGGACTTGTATCTAAAATATTTTAATCGTAATTTTATGTCCCTCATATAGTTAAACATAATTCATTGTAAAATTAAATTTTACCGCGAATTTTACCTCAATTTGTTATGTGATCAAATTAAATATGCAATGTAAACATCTTTAAAAGAAACAAAAAATGTATCAAAAAATGTTAACCATCGAACAATTGTAACAGAAAGTTTATTAAGACGTCAAAAAACTTACCCCCAACTCTTTAGACACAAGTTCAACAGTTCACATGGTTCAGTGTGCATCTAGTGTATTTAGGTTGTTGATGCCTTCATTCCGATTTCAGGATCTTTTTTCTCTTTATCGTCAATGGATTTAATATTACTATCTCGTCATTTTTATCTATAAATGTCTCGAAATGGCATTTTTGCTTGTTGATCTGTTGATAGAACCCGCAAAAAGTGCGATAAACTAGTTCTTTAAACTGGTTACGATATCATAATCAGCAAGACGCTCGTACAAGAATTTGATTAACACAAGCTATGTCAAACGTGTACATAATTTATTAAAAATATGGTGTACAACAAACACGATTTTATTTCAAACCATCAATAAATGACACAGTCGGCGGGTATTTTAAAAATAAAAGTGAGATTGACCTCTTCTATTTTTTTTTCGGTATTTTGAAAAAATTGGGTCGGCGCTTCCCGTTAAATAGAAAATAAAAAAACTCTGGCCTTATTGGATGATTTATAATTCTAACATATTTGTTGCACTCCTGACCAAAAGCATTGGGGCCTTTAACGTAGAATTGTGAAGTGAAAATTACATAAGAACTTGTTCTGTTGTTTCAGTGAAGTTCAGGAGGAATTACTTGAATTTTATGACAATTTTTTAGTGTGTTTATTTTTAACATTCATTAAAAAAAATCACAAAGAGATCAATAAAAACACATCTGAATTGATAAAATTGAAAAAGGAAGGATTTTAATAATAAAACTGTCAATAATTTAGTATTAAATCATACAAAAAGATCATTATTAATTAATGAATACTACTAAGCATGAATAGAAGTGTTTTCGTCACACAACTTGAATCTTTAAAAAAATGTGTTGCACTCCTGACCATAGAAATATAGATCTGAAGCACAGACAGATCCTGTAATTGATAAATGTATTCGGTAAAAATGTTCTTTGTGTCTTTATTTTCCAAAATAAAAATCATATAATGATAATAGTTTTTTTCATGCTTGGGAGCAAAACATCAAATGTTGCACTCCTGACATTATAGGGTATGCACATATACTTGACTCTCATTAATGCTGCTTGTGATTTATATATCATTTTTAAAGTTTTAAAATGTATATCACTTATTATTTTACACTTGGAAAATTCTTTTTGGTCTTAATTTTCTTTAAGAATTTTACAATTGAGGTTTATTTGGCAACTGTTACACTACATTTTTAGCTCACCTGAGCCGAAGGCTCAAGTGAGCTTTTCTGATCACATTTTGTCCGTCGTCCGTCCGTCCGTCTGTCTGTCCGTCTGTCTGTCTGTCCGTCCGTCTGTAAACTTTTCACATTTTTGACTTCTTCTCAAGAACCACTGGGCCAATTTTGACCAAACTTGGTACAAAGCATCCTTGGGTGAAGGGGAATTTAAATTGTTAAAATGAAGGGCCAAGTCCCCTCACAAGGGGAGATAATCAAGAGAAGACAAAAATAGGGTGGGGTCATTAAAAAATCTTCTTCTCAAGAACCACAGGGCCAGTAAAGCTGAAACTTATATGGAATCATCCTGGGGTAGTGTAGATTCTAAATTGTTCAAATCATGACCCCCGGGGGTAGGGTGGGGCCACAATAGGGAATCAATGTTTTACATAGAAATATATAGGAAAAATCTTTAAAAATCTTCTTCTCAAGAACCACTGGGCCAGAAAAGCTGAAACTTATGTGGAAGCATCCTGGGATAGTGTAGATTCTAAATTGTTTAAATCATGACCCCCGGGGGTAGGGCGGGGCCACAATAGGGAATCCAAGTTTTACATTGAAATATATATAGGAAAAATCTTTAAAAATCTTCTTCTCAAGAACCACTGGGCCAGAAAAGCTGAAACTTATGTGGAAGCATCCTGGGATAGTGTAGATTCTAAATTGTTCAAATCATGACCCCCGGGGGTAGGGCGGGGCCACAATAGGGAATCCAAGTTTTACATTGAAATATATAGGAAAAATCTTGAAAAATCTTCTTCTCGAGAACCACCGGGCCAGAAAAGCTGAAACTTATGTGGAAGCATCCTCAAGTAGTGTACACTCTAAATTGTTCAAATCATGACCCAGGGGATAGGGCGGGGCCACAATAGGGGGAATCCCAAGTTTTACATTGAAATATATAGGAAAATCTTTAAAAATCTTCTCAAGAACCACTGGGCCAGAAAAGCTGAAACTTATGTGGAAGCATCCTGGGGTAGTGTAGATTCTAAATTGTAAAAATCATGACCCCCGGGGGTAGGGCGGGGCCACAATAGGAAATACAAGTCTTACATTGAAATATATAGGAAAAATCTTTAAAAATCTTCTTCTCAAGAACCACTGAGCCAGAAAAGCTGAAACTTATGTGGAAGCATCCTCAAGTAGTGTACACTCTAAATTGTTCAAATCATGACCCAGGGGATAGGGCGGGGCCACAATAGGGGGAATCCCAAGTTTTACATTGAAATATATAGGAAGAATCTTTAAAAATCTTCTCAAGAACCACTGGACCAGAAAAACTGAAACTTATGTGGAAGCATCCTGGGGTAGTGTAGATTCTAAATTGTTCAAATCATGGCCCCTGGGGGGGAGGGTGGGGCCACAATAGGTATTACAAGGGGGGAGTCTGGTAATGAACAGCATGGCCAAAGTTACTCAGGTGAGCGATGTGGCCCATGGGCCTCTTGTTTCTGTTGCACTCCTGACATGGTATAGCATTTTTTTAAACATCAGCTATGACCACAACTTGATTAAACAAAAGTTGCTACAGTCCACATTTAAAGCTCAATACTTTGAATATTATCAGGAAAGTCTTTATTTTCAACATAAAGCATTATTATTTATTTCACAAGTCTCCAAAAAATATTGAAATTTCAAAATGTCACAAAAAGGTGTTGCACTCCTGACAATTTTAGCATCATTTTTGGGTATAACTTTTTTGTTAATTGAGATATCAACAAGATATTTGGCAGGTATTTAGACATTATCTAAAGATATATGCTGAGACATAGAAATCTATTTTCATTGCCTGTATTTTTAGTGTGGGTCGATAAATATGCGTTTGGTAATTTTTTAGACGGTGGCTATTTATAGCCACAGGCTATTGCTGCTGGTCTGGGCTATGAATAAACAACAGTGTAAAATCACGGGGACCCTAGCGGCGATTTTTGCAGAGACAAAATAATGAAAGTGGGGTCGTTTCAATGTTCGAAAATAAAATGTACATGGTTCTCAAGTTATTTCAATGACATTTTGTAGATGCGCGCAAAGTTTAATTCCTGATATTTGCCGTTTTAATATTTCTCGCCTTATGAATATTCATTAAACTACGCCGACTTAATGTTTATTCGTACAAAAACTGATTCGTATATAAGGAGTCAATTTGTATGCTAACCACAAAAGTCAATTCGTACATAAAGTTTGCTGAACATGAAACAAATACAAAAAGTTAGTTCGTATACACATCCTTTTTTTACGTTGTGTAACTGTAAAATTTCAATAAAATTTATTAAGAGTAAAAAAAAAAATCTGGGGGAAAATATTTATGGATAATGGTTTCACATTACACCTTACCATCTTAAGAAATAAAATAACTATTGTTAAACCAACACACTCTCGGCGGTTTCTTAATTCGCTGTTGGATGTGTGACAAACGCTTATTACGAATTTGGTATTCCCTAATTACGAGATACTCCATGCTTGGAAAGCGTCGATCCCCAAATTTCTCCATTTCCGAAAATTCAGTTAACATGATTCGAGGACTGAGTATTCCTTGTTGCAGAACTGCATGTTTTATTTGAGACGTTTTGTGGATTTTTTATACAATAATACTTATACAGTTTATTGAAATTTTACGGTGTCTTTTGATTAATGGAATTTCTAGTATCTGTTGACGATACTATATATAAAACTTAATAAATGTAGAAAATTTCATGCAATAAATTGTTTAACAACTTCAATTAATACATGTCCTCATCATGCTGACGCAAATATAAAATAACTCATCAAATACATGTATTGTGAAACATTGCAACAAACTTTCATAATTTCCATATCATTTTACAGATTCTCATATCATTTTATTTCATTTAATTCATTCATGCCAGTGGCCAGTAATTAGAGCGTTTGCTCTAGAGTCAAGGAGTAAGGAGTCGATCCTTAGGTCGCGGGCTCGAATCCCACTGCGGGATGTGGAGACCGTTCCTTTGGATGAGACCGTTAAATTGAGGTCCCGTGTCGCAGTAAGTGCTGGCCAGAAAAAAAGATCCCTCACTGCACAATGGCCCTAAGTGCTGAGTATAGATATAAAATTTGCAGCCCACCAATGGCAATGGTGGCGTTTCATTATGAGTGAAAATTCCCGAGAGGGACGTTTTAATTAAAACAAACAAACAATCAAACAAAATCATTCATGCCACCGTCTATCAGTACTCACAGTACTTTGATTTTTAATTCACCCTAGTCAGAGATGAGCAGTATTATTCAGTTCACGTATCATTTGAGGTTAGAGTCAGCAATAAGAAGGTTAATCTCAGACCACCAGGATTAGGACCTATACATGTATTTAATAAATCTAACGTTGGTGTTTATTATTATATTAGTGTTTTAGTATTAAATGAAATCAACAGGTTTTTCAGCTTTAATTTCTAAATAAATGAAACAACTTACGTTGAAGCACTTACAGACTTGCAGTTGAATACAAAAGATTAGATTTAAATGGTTAAATACTTCCAAACTACTGGATACCTGTCTCAATGCCATTTTTACATTGGAAATTTAGAGTTATCATGCATTCTAGATATTAAAAAAAGCACAAAACGGATTTTGTCAATAATTGGAGGACTATCAATCTCGGCTTTTAGCTATCAATTGTTGTCATTGGAAGCACTCCACAGACAATTTTTTGATGGTCAGCAACTAATGCAAAATCACTATTTTAAACAAAAGTTAAATCATTAAAATAACTAAGGAAGTACTTGTATTTGGTATATGTAACCTTAAATGCTCCTTTTCTACATATAAAAATCTTCAGAATGTGTCCTGATTTTTGTCAACAATACCTGGTAATCATTGGATGTCAAGAACAAATTTGGACTTCAAGTGTTTGACCAAAATTTAATGCACAAAAATCCAACTCATAAGCAAATGTATACATTAAGTAGAATGAAAAGTGAAGATAACAAACAGTGATCATTCTCAAAAGTCCATTTAAATAATACAAAATTAATTTGAAATTATGAGCAGAGCCAACACTGACTTCTGAAAACAGAGGTTGGATCAGATGCCATGGAGGAGTAAGCATCCCCTGTCAACTGGTCACACCTGCTGTGTGCTCCTTGTAATGATCAGGTTAAAAAAAAACCCAGACAATTCATTGTGAAAATAATGGCCTAACCTTTGTGTGAAAGATGTCGACCAACATTTGATAGACTGTATTTTGCAAACAAGATCATTGTTTTGACCATAGAATTTGCAAAATGTTGACTTTTATTTCCTAAATTGAGAAAATTGTCAAGGATGGATTTCAAACTGATGAATTGCAAATAAATGTAGTTGCAATGTTTTTGCTTTTTTCAATATATATAAATAATGAGTGTGAAATATGTCTTGGAAGTGTTATTCTGTTAAGAATTGCAGCTCATGAGCTTCCTTTTTTTTTCAGGAGTTGATAAACCATATGAAGTTTATGTAAATGCCTCTGCTTCAAGTCCCCACACCTTAAAATACTTTATTAATGTATGTGGAGAGCTTGGGATTCAGTGTCCAGATGAAGATCATGTTAGAGGAGTGGCAGTATGCCAGACCATGGTTGGAAATTCTGGCTGGGGACATGTCCTGGGGAATACTGATCACCAGATCCTGAAGTAAGACACACTTCATCATGGACTACTAGGTTTGCTTCATCTAAAACACACCAGCTATATAGACAATAGATCCCCATGTAAAACACTTCTTTTTGGAGATAGAAACCAATAGGTCCTAAAGTAAGACTTGCTATATTATTGAGATAGAGAACATTAGGTCCTCAATTAGGATTTGATTCTTTATGGAGATAGAGATCACAAGGTGCTCAAGTAAGACTCACTACATTATGGAGATAGAGACCACTATGTTCTAAAGTAAGACTTGCTTCATCTAAAACACACTTTATTATTGTGATATGGAACACTAAGAGTACTTTAGAAGGCTTCATGTAAAACTCACTTCATTATGCAAGATTGAAACCACTTGGTCCTAAATTAAGACTCCCTACATTAGGGATAGAAGAGACTATTAGGTCCTCAAATAAGTCTCACAACATTTTGGAGATAGAGACCACTAGTTCTTCAAGTAAGACTCACTTACTTACCTTATGAAGATATACATGTAGACCACTAGTTCCTCTAGTAAGACTCATTTTACTATGGATATCACTAGGTCCTCAAGTAACACTCACTAGATTATGGAGACAGAGACCACTAGTTCCTCAAGTAAGTATCACTTTTTTATGGAGATAGAGACCACTAGGTCCTCAAGCAAGACTCCTATCATCACAGAGATAGAGACCAAGTCCTTGAGTAGCACTCTCTTCATTATGGAGATATAAAATTATTATACATGTAGACCAATAAGTCCCCATAAGACAAGTGTGTGTCAAACCATGCATATGACATCATTATATACATAAATCTTATAAAACAAAGATCATCAGGTATCCAAAATGCAGGTAATACATGTGACATGATAATGAAGTTTGACATAAGGAGAATTGTGATTGTTGATCTGTTTTAGGTATGTGATTGTTGATCTGTTTTAGGTATGTGGTTGTTGATCTGTTTTAGGTATGTGGTTGTTGATCTGTTTTAGGTATGTGGTTGTTGATCTGTTTTAGGTATGTGGTTTTTGATCTGTCTTAGGTATGTGGTTGTTGATCTGTCTTAGTTATGTGGTTGTTGATCTGTTTTAGGTATGTGATTATTGATCTGTTTTAGATATGTGGTTGTTGATCTGTTTTAGGTATGTGGTTGTTGATCTGTTGTAGGTATGTGGTTGTTGATCTGTTTTAGGTATGTGGTTGTTGATCTGTTTTAGGTATGTGATTGTTGATCTGTCTTAGGTATGTGGTTGTTGATCTGTTTTAGGTATGTGGTTGTTGATCTGTTTTAGGTATGTGATTGTTGATCTGTTTTAGGTATGTGGTTGTTGATCTGTTTTAGGTATGTGGTTGTTGATCTGTTTTAGGTATGTGGTTGTTGATCTGTTTTAGGTATGTGGATGGGCTGCTGACTCTGACATACAAAGGAGGAGAGAAGTGTAACCATAACAAATTCCAGAGAGAGACTATCATCACCTTCCACTGTAATCACTCAGCAGGTAATCCCAGGCTCACAATGAGGTCAATGAAATAACAGTAAAACATGTATTCTTTATGTAAATATTTGTTTGTATTACAGCGAATGATGGCAAGGGTTGGCCTGTCTTTAACAGAGAAGAGGATTGTACATATCTCTTTGACTGGGACACAAAATATGCCTGTCTGGATCACCCTGTAATTGAAAAATGCAGGGTTAATCATAATGGCAGGAGATATGATTTGTCACCCCTGGTCAAACATTCAGGTGACTATGACAACACGTAGAATGGCTGATCATTGACTTTTCATCTCTGATCAGATGATAACACAATTCTCTTTTTTTTTAATCATTAGGATTGTATAAGGAATTTAATCATAATGGTAAGAAGTATACATGTGAATTTCTTTTCATAATTAATAGGTAAAAACTGGAATGTTTTGGAGGGTGGTGAAAAAGACAATCATCTTAGTCTTTACTATATCAATGTCTGCAGTGATATCCTCCATGTTGATCAGGCTACTCGCTGTAAATCTGACTCATCTGTCTGTTTAATAGGTAGAGTGTTTTATCATATACCCTTAAGATTCATAAAAAATGTCAAGTTCCCAAAAAAATGAAATCAGACGAATTGAATGTATTTGTCATTGTGTAATGATCCATTCTATTGTAGATAATAACGGAGTAAACAGTTTGGGTCGGTACCTCCAAAATCCGACCTTTGACCCCAGATCAAACACTATACAGATCAAATACACAGAGGGGGATGTTTGTAAGGACAATACACAGAGAAAATCATCCATTATTACTTTTATCTGTAAACCAGGTACTGTATCACACAGAGAAAATCATCCATCATTACATTTATCTGTAAACCAGGTACTACATGTATAACACACAGAGAAAATCATCCATCATTACTTTTATGTGTAAACCAGGTACTGTAACGCACAGAGAATATCATCAATCATTACTTTTTTTGTAAACCAGGTACTTTAACACACAGAGAAAATCCTCCATCATTACTTTTACCTATAAGCCAGGTACTGTAACACACAGAAAATATCATCTGTCATTACTTTTACCTGTAAGCCAGGTACTGTAACAGAGAATATCATCCACCATTACTTTAACCTGTAAACCAGGTACTGTAACACACAGAGAATATCATCCACCATTACTTTTATCTGTAAACCAGGTACTGTAACACAGAGAATATCATCCACCATTACTTTTACCTGTAAACCAGGTACTGTAACACACGGAGAAAATCATCCATCATTACTTTTACCTGTAAGCCAGGTACTGTAACAGAGAATATCATCCACCATTACTTTTACCTGTAAACCAGGTACTGTAACACACAAAGAATGTAATCCACCATTACTTTATCTGTAAACCAAGTATGTAACACACAGAGAAAAACTTCCGTCATTACTTTTTCTGTAAACCTGGTTCTGTAACATACAAAGAATATCATCCATCATTACTTTTATCTGTAAACCAGGTACTGTAACACACAGAGAATATCATCTGTCATTACTTTTATCTGTAAACCAGGTACTGTAACACAGAAATTTAACTATCATCAGGATTTTTATTTTCCTAATATAAACAACTTTAGATATCTCACTTTGAAAACACACTTACAACAAATGTTGAATGAGAGCTCTTCACTTGGGCCATATTAATGATTTGATGATTTTAAATGAACACTTCAATATTAAACTAAATAATAGTGTTGTTAATGGTAACCGATTAATCGTCGAACAATGCGAATATCGGTTAATAAAACTACTACTCGGTTACTTGGATATGAAGACAAAACTAGAAAAGAAATGTTATTTTATTGAAAATCAATACTTTCATTTCTGCCCTGTTTTATTTACCCTTATTTAACGTTAGAGTTGATGTAGCATTTCCAATTTGTTTTGATTACACTTAGTTTTCACAGTTTATCTTATTGATTGCTTTGATTGCCAAGAGGTATAACAGTTTAGAAGATCTGACTTAATAATAATAACCTTACTTATTAAACTGTGCTAGTACGTGGTGCATGATTAAACAAGATGCCGCCAAATCATCTCAAAGGCACAGATTCTGAAATATTTTAAATTCATGAGGTGTAAAATATGTGAAATGTAATATACACAGAAACATGACTCTGAAACCATTGATATAATAAGGTAGCAAAAACATCTAACTTTTACGGGATATTCGAGAACACATTTATTTACTAGAAGCTTATGAGTTTTTGCATTTATTTAAGAAATAAGGTATCATTTTTAAACATCTGTCGGGATATAAATACGGGTTGGTCACGAGATCAAATTCCATAAAGCCCGAAGGATGTTAGACGTCTAAAGAAAAAGCACCCGAGTAACTGGGTACTCAATCAGAAAAGTAAGCGAGTAACCAGTTTCTAAAAATCGTCCGATTTGACAACACTACTAAATAAGATATAAAATCTAATGATATTCTGGCCATGCAGGTTAGTAACATTGAGAAATTTTCAATACTTTCTTCTTAGCAAATGTTTTGAACTAAAGGGGTTACAAAACTTCAGCACTAATTTCAGTTTTCTTTTGTTACTGAAATTATGAGAATATCACTCTATAAACATTTACAATGTAAGTGAAAAGTTCATAGACTAAGCATTACTTTTATGACCATAGCTATCTGTTTTCTTTTATTTTGTGTTCCAAGAATTGTGAAAAACTTTTGAATAGTTTCATCTTTTTCTCAGGAATAGCTGAACCAATTTCAGCCAATTTTGGTATATATCACTGATGGGTCAAGGAGATCAAAAATTCTAAATTTCATGGTCCTGCTACAGTCCCTGAAATGTTCTACTTTCCCATTTTTCCGTTGGCTCACCGTTCGTTCACCGTGCGTTCACTGTTCGCTCTCCATTCACAGTTTTGCGTTCTGCGTTCACTGTGCGCTAGCGTTCACCGTTCACAAAGCGTTCACTGTTCGCTCTCCGTTCGTTCACTTTGCGTTCAGCGTTCATCTATCGTTCAGTCCTCACTGTCATCCGGAACTCCGAAGTGAAGGAACTTATCTTTTTTGTAAGTAAGGATTTACAGGATTTGAAATTTAATATATTTATTAAACATTTTAATTTAACATATCCTGTTTAGACGATCATTCTTTCATGGGAATAAATTATCTACAATATGTTTTATTATTATTCTAACTTGGCTGTTAGGTTATTAGGTCACCTGAGTCACTCAGGTGACCTATTGCTATCTGTTTTCTTCCATCGTTGTCCGTCCTGCATCGTGTGTTAACATTTGAACATTTTCAGCGTCTTCTCTGAAACCACTGAACCAATTTCAGCCAATTTTAGCACATGGCATCTATGTTTGAAGGGGAACAAAATTTGTGAATTTCGTGGTCCCTGCCCCCCTGGGGCCTGAGGGGTGGGGCTAAAACCACCAAAATTAATGCAATCTTTATAAATTTTCTTCTTTACTTTAACAAATTAAATACATAGTTATGATAAGCAAGAGTGACTCTACCAAAATTGTGAAATTCATGGCTCCAGGGTCAGGGATTCTGGTGCTAAGGTGGAATCATTAGATCATATAGTAAAGTGCATTATTTCTTTGAAAATCTTCTTCTCTACTCCTGGGTATTATTGAAACAAATTAAATACATAGTTATGATAAGCAAGAGTGACTCTACAAAAATTGTGAAATTCATGGCCCCAGGGTCAGGGGTTCTGGTGCTACGGCGGGGTTATATAGTGAAAGTGCATTATTTCTTTGAAAATCTTCTTCTCTACTCCTGGATATTATTTAAACAAACTAAGTACATTGTTATGATACGCAAGGATGCCTCTTCCAAAATTGTGAATTTCATGGCCCCAGGGTCAAGGGTTCTGGTGAAAAAAAGGGGGGGGGGTGGCTCTATTGATTATATAGTGATAAAGCAAAATTTCTTTGAAAATATTCTTTTCTGCTTCTGGTTAAAAAGCAAAGAAGCTAAGTATATAGTTATGATGAGCAAAAGTGCTTCTTCCAGAGTTAAGAATTGCATGACCCCTGGGTCAGATGTGTTGGTGTAAGGGTGGGGCTCTTGATAATATAGTGAAAATGCCTTAATTCTATCAAATAATCCTGACAGCTCCTTAGTGTTAAGCATATAAGCAAAGTGATTACTTATGATGAGCAAACCTCTGGTCCCAGTGTGAGTGGCTCTGGTGTTTCTTGGGGGGGGGGGGGGGCTCTATTGATAATGTAGTGAATCTGTAGTAAAAATGCATTTTTTCTTTACAAATCTTCTCTGCACCTGGGCATATCAGAGGCAAAAAGAGTAAAAGTTTTAATAAGGAAGGGTATTTTTACCAGATTTTTGAACATCTGGATCATTTGGTCAAGTGTTCAGGTCCTGGCCAGGGCTCTATTAATTTGTATTCTACTGAGAGGAGTTATTCCCCTTTGCCATTTACTTGTGATAATTAATCACTGTAAATAATGTACTTGAAAGGTTAATAGAATAAGAGAATTATACAAGAATTTTTATTGTATAATACAAAAAGTACTTTCATAGTTCTAATGAACATGTAGACTTGTAAGTAATAGATGAATAAAAATGAGACAAAAATAACTTGTCTTATTAAATGTTCATCAAAGACCAAGAGAGACCAATGTAAGACATTTCAACAAGGAATTAAAATAGTACAGAAGCACTGATAGTTTGTTAATGTACTGTATGGTGAGAGTGATAAATGGGGAACAGATTAGAACCTAATTTATGAACTGTTAATAAATACTAGAATAATTATTTTGTTGATCCTGATCACCCTATTTTTCTTGCTTTTGGGCAACAAAGCTTCACCTTTCCTTTTATTTTATACTCTATGGATCATCTAAATTGTTGTGTTATACTCAGGTGACCGTTAAGGCCCTTGGGCCTCTTGTTTGTTAAATTACTCTGGAAAATAAATGTCGTTAAAAAGAACTTCTGGAAAATTTGAAATCACAAGATTTTACCAAAATCAACAGCTTAAAAACTTAGGACTTTTCAACTTTATACACAACCATTCCCCACGATAAATTAAAGTCCAGGCTTTTTGATATCATTGACAGCTGCTTTTTCAATAAAAATGGAACTCGTAAATATACTTACCTTGTCATTGGTCATTTGCAAAATTATTTTGTTAAAAAACATTCTGATTGTACACACAAGTACTCTGAAGTTGACATTAAAAAGATGCTTGAGTTTCTGATTGACAATGTGTTTTTTTGGAGACCAGGTCTTCCAACAATCTATTGGAATTCCCATGGGTACCAATTGCACCCCGTTATTAGCAGACCTTTTTTGTATTTATATGAAGCAGAATTTGTCCAAAATCTTGTACGTGAAAAGAAGAAAACACTTGCTGTGGCCTTCAACTCGACATTTAGATATATGACGACGTATTGTCAATTAACAATGGCTATTTCCATTCTTATATCGATACGATATATCCTGGTGAGCTTGAGATAAAAGATACCACAGAGTCTGACACATCTGTTTCATATTTGGATATTTTACATGAAAAAGACGTTAATGGTAATCTAACAACCAAGCTTTATGATAATGATGACTTTAACTATTCAATCGTCAACTTCCCTTACTTATGCAGCATTATATCTTCATCACCTGCATAAGGGGTATATATCTCTCAGTTGATTCGATATGCAAGAGCATGCTCTACGTATGTACAATTTCTAAAATGAGGTAAATTATTGACAAACAAGTTGATGAAACAAGAATATCAGCTGTCTGGTTTAAAGTCATCATTTCGTGAGTTCTATGGTTGATACAATGACCTTGTCAGCAAATACAATTTATCATTTAGTCAAATGCTGACTGAAGTTTTTCATTCTAATTGTTAGGCCATTATTTACACACTGAATTGTCGACGGATTTTTCCATTATTTCCCAATTCCCAATGTAGAACGATGCTGAAAAATTAAATTTAAATATGGGCAATATACAGGTACTTCAAGCACTGCAACATTTTGTTGTTATGTTAAAGACGACAAGTTGTTAATGGAGAGGTAATAATCCATGGCAATTAATTTACCAACTGCAGCAAAATTACGAAAGTATTTATTACTAACACGTTTTTTTAAAATCATTATAGAAATACATTATTAGAACTAGTTCTGAAAATGATAAATAGTACTGCGGATATCCAGTTAATTAAATATCTTTGGAGCGAATTAAATTGATAGTGTGGTTAAAAAAATATTTATTTAAATGTACTATACTACAGTTCATATATAAGTGTATTGTTAGAGAGAAAAAATTCCTTTCTTCACAATAACTTGATATGTTTGCCATTCAATATGATTAAGACCCCCCCCCCCCCTTTTTCCTCATAGATCGGTTACTTAGTCAGCATTTCCAGTATTTTAATTAATATTTAAAAAGAAGTTAACATGTTTTGTAGCACAAAAATTTCAGTCTCAAAGCAAACATGCATCTAAAAATGTCATTAAACAATAGTAGTTCAAAATATACACGCGCCGACGGTGGTATTTTTAAATTGGGCAGGGAGTATGCTTCAAATTCATTTGAAGTGTTTATGCCCAATGTATTTTTTTTATTTATTTATTTATTTTTTTGTTGTTGAAAAATTGGAATCAGATCTATAAATGATAAAACATGTTAAAACTTCTTAGAGATACTACAGTGTAGCACTTCGCCTTTGGTGTGACGAGACTTTCACACCTGCACAGTGTTCGAATGATTTTGATTGACAGGACAAACACGTGGACTTTGTGTAAACTTGAAGCAGGAATTAAAAACCGATTATGACTGTCAAACAAAGTGAATTTGTTGATAAATAAAAAAGGTTACTTTCACTGCCTGATATATTTAGATAAAAATTAAGAATTTATATAGGTACATGTACATGCATTTGTGGAAAGGGGGCTAAAACGGAATCTCTCTCTCTCTCATTTGTCTCTTTAATCAAAACTATGACACGTATTACTTAACTATCAAGTTCTGAAATTTTAATCTATAACAAATAATATGAATGTTTCTTTGTATCACCTTGTCCGAGTATAATCACGGGGAATTGTCTACAGATCGATACATGTACATGTAGAAGTCTGCTGAATAAATCATCATTAATTTAAAAAAATTAAAAGACACATTAATATATTATTGCATTGAATTTTTAAATACGAGTGTATACGTGCAATACGTCCACAGACTGTACAGTTGCAAAATACTTTTTTAATTTATTTCTTATTATTTTACACGGAATTGCCTTGACATGGAAATACATGTATGGTTGTTACAACTGTTGTAATTCATTCTATAAGCCAGTGATGTACTCTCCGAAAATCATTATTTGTAATGGTTTTATATATCAAATAAGAATAAACATTTTACATATTTATTTTACAACTAGAATAATTTTATCTTTTAAACTACAGTGTTCGGTAACAATGACAATGTTTTACAGTGATAAAAATCGAGTGATTAAACAGCTGAATTTAAAAATTATACATATGTGCAGAAAATATTGTAAGAAACTTAATTAATACTTTTACTAAATGTGCATGTTTCATCTTTCTTAGGACAATTTTTGAATATTTATTTATTTATTTTCCAACTGACATTAGAATACAATAGAATAGATACAATGCATGGAAAAGATCAGAGGCATTACGAATAAATTGTTCATCTTGCGTTCACTGTTCACTTTGCGCTCGCGTTCTGCGTTCGTTCACCATTCAGCATTCACTTATCGTTCACCAAGTTGCGTTCAGCATTCACACATCGTTCACTTACCATTCGCTCTGCGTTCGTTCAGCTTTCGCTCACCGTTCAAGTGGGAAAGTAGAACGTTTCAGGGACTGTACTCTTGGGCCTGAGGCATGGGTCCAAAATTGTCAAATTTACTGCAATCTTCAAAAATCTTCATCTTTACTCCTAGCCACCTAGCAGGCAAACTGTTGGCATGATTAGAAGAAGTCATGATCCCTTTAATTTAGTTTAAATGTCTACAGTGGGTTTTTTTTCTTTGTGTAAAGGAGACCTGGACAGTGGTCCTGTTCTTTTGAGACAGCTAGTCCCTGGATGAGTGTATTTACGAGATTGAGTGCAGTTCTACAGTAATTTACAGTGATTTATTAGTACTTTCTCAGGGGCCGAAATTCGGCCCCATTCCCAATTGAAAATGAGTTCAGATTTTCCCAATTTGGCAGTACTTTTTCCCAATTAGTGAACAATGCCTCTATATTTAATTATCTTGGGAAAACACAGAGGAAAATTATCAGCTTGTCTTTAATTTACATCTGTTTAACTCATTTAGCAAAGCTACAGTCATAACACATGTTTAAAAACTGTTAAAACATCGTCAACTTTTAATCCGAATTTCCTCTGTTTTTCTGAAAATGGTGATATTGTGTAATTGTATAGATTTATTAAGTTATTTCCACCTACTCAATTGATCTACGAGTGAATGGTAAGGACTGTAGGCATTATTTCAGATAGAAAAAATATATTTTCAATGTTTTAATACATATTAAAAGAGGACTTTGAGAAAATGTGCACTTGGCATAATTTTTTGCAGGAGGTTTATAATCTCCAGAAACAGATTCTATAATAATCTAAATTGGAATCTCATACACACATGTACTACCCTAAGTTGTATAGGTAAATACTTCATACTCTTTGAAGTCAGTTTTACTTTTATTAGTCTAATTTATTCATAATTAATCTTGTGTGATGAAGTTGGATCATATTTAATTTTCTGTTTGGTTGCCCAAATTAGAGTTCATGCTGAAATGTTAAATGAATTACACCTGAATACATGATTTAAGCGTCATTTTGAAAGAAGAAGGTATGGTTTTAGCTTTATTGTGCCCTGAAAATTTAATGTTTTCAAAAAGTTTTGAAACTGGCTTAAATATTAGTTGAGTATATGACTGATGAATCAAGAAAGAATATGGCATGAAGGAGTACCATTCTGGAAATATGACGTCATTAATTTGATGGATTTCTCTATTTGAAACAGATAAGCCTCAAAATGGCTCATTTCAAGGGTTATTTTCCTTAAGTAAATGGTGTCCACAGCCGTCGCCCACTTTAATTTTTGGATATGTTGTGTAAAATTCTTTGAAAAATCACATATCTCAAAATTTTTGTGGGCAATGGCTGTGGACGATATTATCGGAAAGAAAATTCCATTGAAAATTGGTGTCTTCTGCCACTTTTAGAGAAAATATGGGAAATTGCACAAGTTTACGACGTCACAATTGGCATTTAGAAGGTCATGAGAAAAAAAGATTTGTATGATCTTTCTGCAGGGAGTTTCAATGATCCAGAAAGCATGAGTTTTAATTTTTTACATCATTTTCATTTTTAAGAAAAACACAGGGCAAGATCTGTACTGAAAATATACCTTGTTCTTTTCCCAATTTCATCAAATAGCCGATAATTTTTTCCCAATTCCCCAAAAATGGCGTTTCCCAAAATAGGCTGATAAATCCCTGTAATTTTTTTTTCTTTGTGTAAAGAGACCTGGATAGTGGTCCTGTTCTTTTGAGACAGTCCCTGGATGAGTGTATTTATGAGTTTGATAGGCAGGTCTACAATAATTTTTTTTTCTTTGTGTAAAGGAGACCTGGACAGTGGGCCTGTTCTTTTGAGACAGTCCCTGGATGAGTGTATTTATGAGTTTGATAGGCAGGTCTACAATAATTTTTTTTTCTTTGTGTAAAGGAGACCTGGACAGTGGGCCTGTTCTTTTGAGACAGTCCCTGGATGAGTGTATTTATGAGTTTGAGTGGCAGACAGCAGCCGCTTGTGTGTTGTCAAGGGAGACAGGCTCCGGCTGTATGGTGTATAATGAGGACTTGGGTAGGTGACTAGACATAGGTGTAAATGTAATGTTAGCTTACACTGTTACAGGGTGAACACTTATGGAATTATTTTATGTAAAACATCATTAAAGTATACAAATTATTCAGTACTTTCAATAGTTACAGTGCATAAAACCCAACACAAGCATTAAAAGTAATAGCAATAATAATTTAAAACAAAGTCATCTATTGGTTTAATGATAAATGTGATGCAGTATGCATGAATTGATATGAATTATATTTATCAACTGAAGATTTGTTGCAAGCTGATGTGACATATAATTTTGCAGGCATTAGTTTTGATTTAAACAAGCTGAAGAGATCAGAGGGACACTATTACAATGAGACAGCCAAGGACTACGATTACATACTAAATATCTGTGGCCCAGTAACGAATACTCTGTGTGACAGTAAATCTGATCATATCTCTAACCCAGGAGTCTGCCAAATCAAGCATGGAGGGACAGCCAAGTAAGTGTGTCAACTCAAGCATGGTGACAAAGCTTAGTAAGTCTACCAAGTCAAGCTTGGAGGGACAGCCAAGTAAGTGTGCCAACTCAAGCATGGAGACACAACTTAATAAGTCTACCAACTCAAGCATGGAGAAATAACCAAGTAAGTTGTCAACTCAAGCATGGAGACACAGCCTAGTAAGTTTACCAAGTCAAGCATGGAGAAACAGTTAAGTAAGTGTTTCAACTCAAGCATGGAGACACACAGCTTAATAAGTCTTATTAAGTCTGCCAAGTCAAGCATGGAGTGCTAATTCATGATTACCTTCCTCATTCATACTCTTGTGTCTACCTATCCCAGACGTTCAAAATCAAGTCCATTTCAATCATGGCCATTATTCACCATATGTGTATGATTCTTTGCAACATTTAATTTGTTTTTAATTCAATTTGTATTTCATTTTCCCTTTCATTGACCTGTACAATGTAATAGTTTTGCAAAGCTAGCATAATGTACATAGTACATGGTATAATTTGATGAATAAATTATCTGTAATATACAGTTCTGTAATTATTTAAAATGCAGTATTAGAATCTTTTAAAAATAAAAATAAAGAATAAAAGAAATTGAAACTTGGATTCACTGCAGAAATTTATAATTACTGCTTGTATACACAATGTGGCTTGATGATCTCATGAATTTCCCTATTGTAGATGATTGCTAGGTTTATCCATGATCCACTGTATGTAACACCTGTGATCCTTTGACAACTTACTTGATTGAATGACACCTTGATTGGTGATACTGAATTTTTTAGTGGCTTGATTGGCCTTAGCAATGGTTGTTAAATTGATGATCCACTTCAACCTACCTTATTGCTAAATTGGGCCAGGTGGTGGAGCTTAACAGTGATAATTATAATTATACCTGATTGTTTGAAATGTTTGTGAACTGAATTTCCATCTTTTGAATTCTAAATTTATTTTAGCAGTACATTAGTAGCACTAATCATGATGATGCCTACCCCTCCATACCTGGTGATTGTGCTAAATTTTGAATACATCAATTTAAGTACACATACAGTATATTTGTTAATTTAGGACTGCTGGAACAGAGAGTATATATAAGTTCTACTAAGGCAAGGACAAGCAAGACTTGAAAGTCAGGTGTTAAAGTAAAGAATGTATACCAATTGCACCTTACAGGAGTTGGAAAGTAAAAGCAAGTCTGTTAGGTCAATCACATAAAGATCTGAATGACCTCTTGTTTTTTTTTTATTACAGAATGAGTATAGTTCCTCAGTAAGGGATGTAAACTGGTGACCTTGTTCTATGTCTTTTTAGTGATACCTTTGTAACTGGACAGGCAAATAGCAACCTTACATACTATGATGGACTCATCAAAATAAAGTATGAGAATGGAGCTTTGTATAACAGCAAGCCAAAAGTTCCCCGCCGAACTGAGATAACCTTGATCTGTGACCGACAGGCTGGCCCGGGGGGTCCCAAGTATGTGGATGAGGGATTAACCACTGCTTGGACATATACATTTTCCTGGAACACAGAGTTTGCCTGTCCCAGTAGCCCCATTGAATGTACAGCCACAGGGGGAGGGAAGCAATATGACTTATCTAGGTAAGCATTAGAAATTTGACCAACACAGGAACTTTTCATGTTTTTTTCATGTGATTCTTTTTTTGTTGTTTTCTTTTGTACCATTTAATTTGAATTAGTGAGAGATTGGCTACATATAAGTTTGGATACAGTTAAGAATGAAATGACACCATACCATGTCTCCATTTTTACTTCGGCTCAGGTGAGCTTTTCTGATCACATTTTGTCCGTCGTCCGTCTGTCTAGCTGTCCATCTGTCTGTCCATCTGTCTGTAAACTTTTCAAATTTTCGACTTCTTCTCCAGAACCACTGGGCCAATTTCAACCAAACTTGCCACAAAGCATCCTTGGGTAAAGGGGATTCAAGTTTGTTCAAATGAAGGGCCACACCCTCTTTCAATTTAATTTGAATTAGTAAGAGATTGGCTACATATAAGTTTGGATACAGTTAAGAATGAAATGACACCATACCATGTCTCCATTTTTAGCTCACCTGAGCCGAAGGCTCAAGTGAGCCTTTCTGATCACATTTTGTCCGTCGTCCGTCTGTCCAGCTGTCCGTCTGTCTGTCCATCTGTCTGTAAACTTTTCAAATTTTCGACTTCTTCTCCAGAACCACTGGGCCAATTTTAACCAAACTTGCCACAAAGCATCCTTGGGTAAAGGGGATTCAAGTTTGTTCAAATGAAGGGCCACACCCTCTTTCAAAAACAACAAAGCCACAATTAGTCATATTGATATGGAATCATCCTCAGGTAGTGTAGAGTCAAGTTTGTACAAATCATTACCCCCCGGGGGGGGGGGGGGGGGGGCACAATGGGGGATCAAAATTTTACATAGGAATTTATAGAAAAAAATCTTTAAAAATCTTTTTCTCAAGAACAACAAAGCCACAATTAGTCATATTGATATGGAATCATCCTCAGGTAGTGTAGATAAAAGTTTGTACAAATCATGACCCCCAGGGGTAGGGTGGTGCCACAATGGGGGATCAAAGTTTTACATAGAAATATATAGAAAAAAAATCTTGAAAAATCTTCTTCTCAAGAACAACAAAGTCACAATTAGTCATATTGATGTGGATTCATCCTCAGATAGTACAGATTCAAGTTTGTTCCAAATCATGACCCCTGGGGGTAGGGTGGGGCCACAATGGGCGATCAAAGTTTTACATAGGAATATACAGAAAAAAAACTTGAAAAATCTTCTTCTTAAGAACAACAAAGCCTTGTTAAGTCATATTGATATGGAAGCATTCTCAGATAGTGTAGATTTAACTTTGTTTGAATCATGACCCCCAGGGTTAGGGTGGGGCCACAATGGGGGATCAAAGTTTTACAGGAATATATAGGAAAAACTTCTCCTCAAGAACAGCAAAGTCATGTTTTGTAATATTGATATGGAAGCATCCTCAGGTAGTGTAGATTCAAGTTTGTTCATATCATGATCCCTGGGGATAGGGTGGTGCCACAATGGGGGATCATAGTTTTACATAGGAATATAGGGGGAAAAAACTTGAAAAATCTTCTTAGGAACAGCAAAGTCATGTTTTGTCATATTGATATGGAAGCATCCTCAGGTAGTGTAGATTCAAGTTTGTTCATATCATGATCCCTGGGGATAGGGTGGTGCCACAATGGGGGATCATAGTTTTACATAGGAATATATAGGGAAAAAACTTGAAAAATCTTCTTCTCAGGAACAGCAAAGTCATGTTTTGTCATATTGATATGGAAGCATCTTCAGGTAGGGTAGATTCAAGTTTGTTCAAATCATAACCCCCAGGGGTAAAGTGGGGCCACAATGTGGGATCAAATTTTTACATAGGAATATATAGGAATAAATCTTTTCAACAACAGAAAAGCCATGTTTAGTCATATTGATATGGAAGCATCCTCAGGTAGGTCCATCTTCGCTAGCCAAGGGTTTCTGATACGCTACTCTCCTCATAAACCCTTGGCATACGGTGCTGACAAAAGACGGGATTGTTTTTGTCACGTGATCACGATTCTAAACAGGTACGCACAGATTGCATCATCGACAGAAATAAAAAGCGTATTTAAATAAATAATTTTTTTTTAGAATAATTAACAAGAAGGTATTGAGTTATGTTGATTTGTTATTTAAACATATTAAAATCCAAATCTACATCTTCAGTATTGATTCTTAATCACTTATTTTGCACGTAGCTTAAGATATTGGATGACACCATATAGCTATTCATAGAATGGCATGTTATCTTACGGATCATTGTTTACTTGCGTTTTTCATTCCCGATATTAAAGAGTCAAGATATATCCCGAACGCAAATATCGTCATTTACAAAAAAACAATTGCTGATTGGTCGAACGATGTCAATCAACTCCAATCACAACTTTTTTTGGCCAGTGAAGATGGGTAGTTCAAAATCCAAGCAACCCCCCCCCCCCTCTTTAAACTTTTCAATACTGAAGTGATTTGTGCTTTTTCCTAGCCAATATGATCAGGTGAGCAATGTGGCCCATGGGCCTCTTGTTTTAAGGATATAGTACTTTTAACAATACTTCAGTATATTTAATAGGAAAATGTGGTTTCAGCATGTTCAGTTTGATTTAATTATTATATAGATAATGCCTTAGTTTATAACAATTGTTTTTATTTAAATGTAAAATTTGATCTTGTGGTTTTGATAAGAAATAAGAAACAACTTTACGAAAACAGTAGGTAAATATATCTAAAACTATGATGTTCAATTTGATTAGAATTAATGATTATGGCAAGGTTAAGATAAACTAAGACCCATGTTGGTGACACTTAAAGAGCACACTATACAGAGTACAGATAAAACTGGTGATTGATCAGTCTCATTTTTTAATGTTCTGAAATATGATCTGTAATGGTCTATAAAAACAAAACAGAATATAATTTATATACAGAAATTTGTACTGATCAATTATTGAAAAGTTAGACACCTTAAAAACAGTATGGCTCATTTCCTTAATTATTGTAACCTTACAACACACGTAAAATTGATCTTGTGGTTTTATGTGTTCAAAATATTCAGTTTTATTGAATTAACTCTGATACATTAAATATATTTTGAAGAGAGAGTTAAATACTGATAGGGGTATCTGTATTAAATGAAGTGATATTTTACCGGTGATTTTGAAACAGTTACTCATTATGGATACCAAACTGAGTGCCAGTGTCCCACCCTAGCTATATGTGTATTAAATAAATGTGGAGGATAAATTTAATTTTCCTTTAATTTAATGCAAGGAATGTAAAGAAAATGTAATTTGTGGATTGACAATCTCTTTCTGTCCATCTGTTTCCATTGATTGTTCATTTACTTACATGTATTTATGTGCATATTCATTTAAAAGCACTCAGGTGAGCATTGTGGCCCATGTGCCTTTTTTTAGTTTATCTAGAGGCTCAGCACAGGAGAACTGGGCTATAGTGGATGATTCTGATCCTAACTCCAGGATCAAGTTTTACATCAATGTGTGTAGTCCCTTGAAGGAGGTCAGAGTTGGGCCAGGCTGTAGTCCCTTTGCTGCTGTGTGTCAGACCCAGTACAAGAATGGACAGGTACCCATACACAAAAAAAAACCCAATCAATTTTAATTCCAAAGCAGTACAAATAAAATGGAATAAGAACAGAATATAAAGGAATATCTGAAGATGAAAAGTGAAAGAATAAAGCTGCATGCAACATTTAGTGTGACTGAATTTACAAGATCAGAAAATTCTTATTAATTTTAAGATTATTCATATACACTGTAATAGGGGCAAAAACTTGCCACAGGATAAAAATAAACAGTAACATATACATTGTCATATCATCGATTAGAAAGTTTGTGATGTTTTGTAGGAGGAATTGCTGTTTGATAATCTTGGAGAGGTGACATCAGGCCCCACTGTAGAACGGGAGGGTCAACTTACACTGAAATATGTCAGTGTAAAGAATGAATGTCAGGATATCAACAATAAAAAGACTAACTGGACGACCAGCATTCACTTTGTCTGTAAAAGAGGAGCATTAGTAAGTCAACTAGACTGACCAAGATGATCAGAACTTAATAGCAGTAATATAGCAGATTAGTCTTATTTAGAACCTTATCATTGCATTTGATGTTTAAAAATACAAGTTAATGATTAATGAATTCTGAACATTGAAGAAAAAATAAATTTCATTTTATACTGCTTCATTATACACATTTAAATGCAGAAATACTGTATATATCGGGAAATTTTCGCCCCCATTATTTTTTTGCTCCTTTTATCCTAATCACAGGTGGGTAAATTTAAAAAGGGGCAAATTCAAAGTTCACAGTATAATTTCTTAAACAGAACGTTGACTGGGTGAAGTTAAAATGGGGCGAAATTGTTTGCAAGTGCAAAAGGGCAAAAATAACAAGAGGCAAAAATAACTCTGCATACAGTAGTCTATGAGACGATAGAATCATTTACAGCGTCACCAATTAGCAATATATTCATGATATTAGGGCTGGGACGATACAACTTTTGCTATATCGATATGTATCGTGATATTTGAGCCACGGTGTGGTATGTATCACAATATGTTGAATTGGTTATACATGTAAAATGCTTTTTTGTATTGAAATGAAGGAAACATTTCTTCACAAATAAGAGAAATTTATTCAAAGAAGTTTTATATCTGTTGTAAAACAAAATTATTTTACCTAAGTGGTATTAATTATTATGTATTTCATATTTATATTTTGCATATTTATTTTATATATTTAACCTAAAATGTTAAGTAAACAAAGAAAAATATAAGTCAGAATATTTTGGCGATATTACGATATTTCTTCATTACGTATCGATATGTGTATCATCCTCACATTGAATCGATATCTCGATATGTCGTCCCAGCCCTACATGATATACATGTATTTTGTTTTTTGGGAGACTAATATGAATTGATACTCATGGCTCACACCGAAATAATATGATGCATATGTGTATCTTTTTTTCCCAAAACAAATGTAGCATTAGGTGGGGCATTCATGTCCTATGGACATATTTCTAGTAATTACAAGTGTATGTACTCTAGTCTCAAATTAAATGACATAGATTTTCTCGTACTTGTATGTGCGTTGCATTTATTTGTAGATATCTCCACTTCTTTACTTGCTTTGTTTCCAAATCAGGAAATCCAATCTTGTTATGTGTGAGAGGGTCATTCAACAAGTAATATAAGAAAATGTTTATCATAAGAAATATAGAATTACATTAGATTTACAGTGAAAGACATTGCTAAGACATTAAATTTTTCATCACCACAACAGTTTATAGAGTTCTGGCAAAGGAAATGAATCTGAAACATATTTCTGTCTGATGAGTGCTTTGTTTACTTACACACAGAAAACACAATTAAAATTGCCAAGGAACTATTAAAAAATAAATATTCAACAAAAATGGTATCATAAACTTAACTCAGGTGAAAAGTGATGAAATGTTCATTCTAGAGTCCAAAAGGAAGATCAGTAATAATTTTTTTATTCCAAAAACTCAAGAAAACCATCAAAGGTAGATGCTACAATTTTAGATCTGTCCTGGGGAATGGTATTTGTCAGTGTTGTTTGAGCTACCACTAAAAAGAGACACTGAATTGTTCTGGTCATGGGTAAAGAGACTTGAGAGGTGTTAGAGTTAACAGGGAATACTTTAATGAATTCAAAATATAAAGAGTATCTGTTTTTCATTCTTTTCTTATATTTGATGACCTCTTGCATTATTTATTGAACATCCCTCATATAGCCTCTGTCTATATTCATGAATACAGACTTGAATCTTTGAATGTATTCATTGTTGGTGTTAGATGGGAATTCAAATTTTAATAGGAATGGTACTGCCTTTCTTACTGTCCCAGATAATCTGCAATAGATCAGTGAACAAAGAATTATAAAGGCACACAGTGGGAAGCAGAATATTATTCCAGACACTGTTCTACTATGGGATGTTTCACTGACCATTTTAATACATGTACTATGATTGAAAGTTTTTGTCATTCAAAGCATTTGAAATTATTTCTCACAAATCTTTGTTAAAATAGACCACTGGTCCCAGTCCCCCTCAGAAGATTGGACCATGTGAATATTCCTTTGTGTGGGAAACGGAAACAGCGTGTCCTGTAGCTGACACTGATACCAAGGATGATAACTGTACAATCAAGGACCGCAACTCAGATTACACATTCAACCTGTCCCCATTAAAACGGAGAGGAGAGAAAGATTACTACGAGGTTAATGCTATGGGAACTGACAAAATTAGGGTTAGTTTACTTCTACTATGTGGTTGTAGAAAGATTTGAAGAAGTCTTTCATTTAATTAATGATTATATACGTATAAATTAGAAAAACAGAGTAAAGTTTCATTTTGACATTGTGTTCAACTATAAGTGGTTCAGTTTAATACATATTTTAAGATCATATTGAATAAACCTACATATTTCCCATTGCTCTGAAAATATGCCAAAAAAAATTAGTTCATGTATCGATATTTGCAGCTACATGTAGCTCAGTAACAAATTCAAGGAAATAGGCCTACAGTGTAGATGATGTTTTTATAAGTAAAATCATCATACACAGCATTAATTATACCCCCGTTCTGAAGGAGAGGGGGGGTAAACTGTTTTACCCTTGTATGTCTGTCTACGTGTGTCTAGCTGTCTGTCTGTCTTTAGTGAATTTCTGTCTCAGTTTTCTCAGCAACTTCTCATTGCAGATGCTTGAAATTTTAGTACACTCTTTATTTAGGCATGCCATATGGTGGTATTCATTTTTGTATGAATTCGATTCAACTTCCTGTTTGCCCGTGCATCTGTCCGTACCAAATTTGTGTCACAGTTTTCTCAGCAACTACTCATTGCAGATGCTTGAAATTTTAGCACACTGTTTGTTTAGGCATGCCATACGGTGGGATTCATTTTTGTATATATTCGATGTCAACTTTCTGTTTATCCCTGCGTTACTTTTGTTCTAATGGTTTCTTACTGTGGACATTGACTTTCTGGGTAAACTTTAATGATGATAAAAAGATAATGAAAAAAATCGTAGTAAGTACATGAACAATATTTCTTTAACTGAACTTGTATTTTTTCACATATGAGAGTATATTCACATCAGAGCGGGGATATTGCTAGTTAGCATTGGCTCACAGACTTCTTGTTTGTTATCACTGCAGATTCAACAACTATGATTGAGCACTGAAGAAATTTATTAAGAACTTTACATGTAGATTTGATTGATATGCTATGATTTGTTTGTAGTTAAACCTTTGTGGTAGTATAAACACCAGTCACTGTGCTCCGGTAGAGGGAGCTAAAGCAGCTGCCTGCCTGGTAAAAACTGGATCCACCCATGGACTGGCCACTGTTGACCACACTCTGGACTACTCAGAGGATGGCAGACTCATGATGACCTTTGATGGGGTCAGACAGGATAATGGTGGGTGATTAATTATAATAATTGATACTTTAAGGTATGGTACTGATTAGGAAAGTGCTCTGATCAAAGTCTGTCAAACATATATTACATGTATATGTATGTATATAAAGCCATATTAATTGAACAGTCAGGTAATCACTGCCCCGCAGGACCTGACATGCATTGTTACTTGATTCTTTTTACACATAGGGTCATCATGACCTTTCCTTGGTGCCAGCTTTACAATAGACAACAGCTGTATAATTTTCATTACATTTATTAAAGACTTGAACAAAAACATATACAATCTTGCATTACTCATAACTGTGATGGACATCAGGGAATTGGCATTAAATGGCCGCATTGCATCAGTGTACAATCAAAAAATAGGGTCCAGGAGGGATAGCTGGCATACCGACTAATAAGTACCGGGCAAAACCAGTGGCCCTGTGTTGGTCACAGATGCCTGAGATCCCAAATTTAGGTACTAGACATTAGGGACCGAGAGATTTGCGAGCACATCTGTATATCCTGCTTCCGGTGATTGCTTCTGGTCAGCAGTACTTTTACACCCAAGTACTCCAGTACTAAGCCTCTCCTCCTGTTACAAGAGGTGGAGGGGGCCCCAGGCCTGCAGACTTGGCTACGACCCCAATCGAAAACTTTTTACTTGTCTTTTTACTTGACTTTTATAACACATTGCCATAGGTTGGATACTTTGTAGACAACCTGTCTACCCAACAATGTGCCCACCAACTTGTCTGATAGCTGGGCAGGGAAACAATGAGCCAGATGTGTTCACAACCCTCCCACTCATCCCTCCGGACCCGCCACAGACATCGATATGATGTTCCTCCATTACTTTACATTAGGGGAGACTTTTCCCTTCCCTTGAATGAGGGACCACAATCCACTTTTTACGTTATTTAAGAAAGTTCTGTTGCCAAGCTCGGAGAGGTGGGTACCATCAAATCTAAACAAGTCCGGATTGGCAACGGATATGTTTGCATGTGAAATTACACCCCCACCCATTTCTGTGACAAATTTTGAGATATTTTTGTTAATTCTTTTACGTTTTTTGTCTATCTTTTTTCCACTGTTCATGGAGCTCCATGCCAATAACGGCGTGGTAGAATGTGTGACCACACCATTATATCGCAGGAAGCTGCACTGAATCTCTTGTATGAATATTTTGCTAGTTAAGTTTGGAGTTACCAAATCGTTGGATCCTAGATGAATTACTAAGTAATTTGGGGGTACTTCATGTTTGATGAGCTGTAGGATTTGTGGGTCTAATTCCTGCCACTGCATCTCCCTGTGTGATCTCCATAGCAGTGTGGCAGGGAAGTTCAGGCTTTGTCCCCCTGGGTAGTGTTTGGCTGCTTCCCCTGCCCAAAAAGGAACGGATGATCCTATGATCCATATTTTTAGACCTGCAATGCTTTGGGTTGGTTAGTTTTGGATTTTAAATTGACTATACATATGTCCAAATATCCCCCCCCCCCCCCACATCGATGGGTAGATGTCTGTAGTCCTAGTAGGTATGGGAATGTTGTTGTGAACCAAGCTACATGATCCTTATGTATTTAAGAAAAGCTACTGATTTCCATCTACCAAACTTCTGAATTTCAGAATCAGACGTGCCCTGTAATGCAAGGTCTGTTGCCCTCCCAATTCGAAGCTGTGTGTGCCAAAATGGCCTGGTGTTGGTAATATGTTTTCAATAGCCTTTTGAAGGACTGCGTTGAATTGGTATCTCGTCAATGGTTTTGTATTAAGATGAATTAGAAAACTGTGGTTAACAGGGGTATGGGGCCTACACTCGATAAAATCCAAGGTAGCTTTAACTGGGCACAGGGTAGCAAGTGGCTGGCTATGGATAATAAAGGTGGTATTCTTACCAACCTGGTCAGTTTTGGAGTGTGGTATGGTTAACCTTAAATAGGGCTTGTGTGGATGTGCTTGAATGTGTTTGAGTTGTATGCAATGGGATGAATTCTGTGTGTTTGAGTTGACTAAAGTGAATTCCCCTACACGAAGTAATGCGAAGTATGCTAATGAAAAAGCACATGTGAACAGTTTGACCTCGTAAGTAGAGCAACACACTGACTGTAGCAATATAACAAGCTTTTCCAAAATTGGTAGGGTTATTGGGAGGTGGTTGTCTGGAACAACTCTGTTGTTGCGCTTTAAGCCTTGAAGTGCTTTGTTGATTTGGAAGGACTTGGTAGGGTCAGGAAGATGGTTTATTTTGTGGAAGTATGACAATGCACTAATGTAAAGGGACACTGAATTGGGTGACATTTTTTGGATGGATAGGTAGGCTATAAAATATAGTAATATGTTGCTGTGCAGGGGCCAGGTTTGCTGTAAGCCATAAATGTTTAAGAATGATTGGAATTTATTCAGTGCAGCCCGGTAAGCTTTGTAGGTGTTTTGTGATAAGGAGCTATGAATAAGGCGTTTGGACTCAGCAATTAAATTTCCCATATCTGCTTGGGGAGCTGTGTGGGCCACATCTCTGCCTCTGGAGCCAGGTTGCAAAACTTTCCCCACTGTGAACGAGAAATACTGTCAGCTATTTTGTTCAGTTTTGTTGGGATGTGTTGGGCTTTAATTGTGATGTTATGTTGCAAAGTGAGGAGAACAAGTTTTCTGACAATGTTCATTACCCTTGTTGACTTAGATGTCAATGTGTTAATGACTTGTACAACTGCCATGTTGTCAATGTGGAAAAGTATGCGTTTGTTTGATAACCATGGGTGCCATAACAGGAGTGAAACATATACTGGAAATAGTTCTGGGAATGTCATGTCACGAATAACATCAGAAAACACCCAGTGGGTAGGCCATTTTGAGTGAGCCCAGCGGCCAGCAAAAAAGATTCCAAACCCCCCATTAAACCCCCCTGCACTATCTGTGAATAGTTGTAGACTGTTATCTGATGACCAAATACCAGAGCATATGACTGTGACCCCATTAAAGTGTTTCAAAAATTGCTGCCATACTGCAAGGTCTGCTTTCATACCTTGATTAACTCTTATCATGTGATATGGTTTTTTGATGCCAATAGTGGCATCAACTAGTCGCCTGCAAAAGGCTCTGCTAGGTGCTACTGTTTTGCAAGCAAAATTGAGGAGACCAATCAGTGATTGTAAGGCCTTTAAGGAGACCTTTTTACTTATCATGATTGTTTGAATGCTTTGTCGGAGAGAAACTAACTTGTCTTGCGGAAGTCGCATTACCATGTGGATAGTGTCAAATTCAATTCCTAGAAAAATTATTGTTGTGCTGGGCTCGGTGGTTTTGTCAAGAGCTATTGGTATTCCAATATGGCTACAGATATTTTTGAAAAGGTCGAGGGTAGATTGGCACCGATTAGAATTTGGTGGTCCCGCGAAGAGAAAATCATCTAAATAGTGTAGAATATGGGGGTTACGTGAGCTAGATTGAATGATCCAATGTAATGCAGTTGCGAACTTCTCCCAGATTGCACAGCTGATGGATGCACCGAATGGCATCATTTTGTCAAAAAAGTATTTACCCTGAAATTTAAACCCCAATAGATCAAAATCATTTTTGGCCACAGGAATGAGCCGGAATGCAGATTTTATATCAGATTTAGCTAATAAAGTACCTGCCCCCAGTGTCGCGATGATGGCTGCTGCGTCGTCCACTGATGTGTAGTGTACTGAACATGCAGCTGGATCTATAAAGGAATTGATTGATTGATGTTCTGGGAAGGACAGGTGATGGATGAGTCTAAAATCTCCATCTTTTTTGGGGACAAGTCCTAATGGTGAGATTTGAAGGGATGGGAATGGTGGGTATTCAAATGGTCCCCCTACCCTCTGGAGCAGGAGTTCTTTATGTATTTTGTGTTCCACTACACTGGGGTTTACTATAGCACTTTTTAAATTTTTTGATTCCCTGTAAATTCTTGGGCCATTGTACTGGAGTTGAAAACCATGTAGGAAACCGTTTATGAGAAAAGATTTAGCACTGTAACCTTGTAGATAAGCAGACAAATTGTAGACATCAATTGGAGTTTTTCCTAAACTGTTGATATCCTGGTTAGAATTGGGTATTTCTATTCCTGCATTTGATCGAGGGGTATGATCCGCCACATGAATTGCACGAGTGGACAAACCTGCAATTTGGGTAGAATTTGCATGACTTGCCTGAATTAAAATCGTAACAGAAACAATTGGGTGCTGAATTTACCTTTTTCTTAGCTGCTGATATATTGGGCTGTTTATGTTGGGGGAAAAAATTTTGTGTGGGAGATATGGGCTTTTCTTGGGCCTGCATGGTGTAATTGTTGGTTACATGGATCAACCACAATTCAGAGTTTATGATTCCCCAAGATGAGTGTGGGTCTGACACTTTGTGAAGTCGAAATTGTTCATCATATGTGAACCAACCATTCCCAGATCTGTCGGCTGCCATTCTTACATCCCTCATATATTTCAAAAATTCTTGGGCTCTAGATCTATATTTTTCTAACATAATACTTGTGAAGATGATGAAGGCTGAAGTCCATTTGTCGATTGACAAAAAGGTGCTTCACAAGGCACATTGTGCCGTTGCGTATTTGTATTTGGCCTTGTGTATCTAAGTGATCTGAGATTTCCCGCGCCGATTTTAATAGTATGGATAGATCGACAAATTTTCCCTCCCAAATTTTTTGTTTAATTTTTAGTGGAACATGGGCGCTAATGGGATCTATAGAACTGGGGGTTTGAGCAGGTTGGTAATCTGAAATGTTAAATGGGGGGCCACCGAATTCGCTATTGTTTGTATGTTGTGTTAAGGCATCTATTTTGGGGAGCAAAATGTCACACTCACCCGAGATGTTGCTCGACGTCTCCTCGTCTTGGCCCTCCAGACATCCTGTGGGTTCGTATCCGTAAGCCTCATGGGTTGATTCCGCCACCGTTACTGTGGCTGGGGACGTTGATGTTGCAGTACTGGTCCGGTTTCCCCTAAGTCGTGGTCTTGTGTTGGTGGGATGTCCCGCCTCGTGTGTGGTCCGCTTGGATCTCCTTCCTCGCCCTCTGCCCGGCGAAACAAAATTACGATCGCGCTCCTTTCTGGAGCGTGAGGTGATCGTCTGTTTAACTGGCGGCATAGTTGAGACCAGGTAGCGTGTAAAATTGGTTTGACTTCCTTCGGATGATTGCGATAATTTTGATGTGGATCTCCTGCCTCACCCTGTTGCTGGATGGCGGGAAAAGGAAATGCTACCTAATTAATCAACTCGTACCAATATGAGTCTTTTTCCTATTGGATTATAACCAATTCATTCCACTATTAGTTTTAACGATATTGTAATGTGCTTCCATCAATTAAATGAGATTAATTTGGTATAAGGGCAAATTAATCTGCCTTAATTTTGTAGAATTCTGAAATGGTGAATGTCCCATTTGCAGTATCTCAACTGTTTAAGTTGAATTTCACAGTTGATTAATGTAATGATACAACAGAAATATTTTCAAAAAAAAAAATTGTATGGTGCAGGTTTGGTCTGATGTGCATGTAATTAATTATATCATTGGAAACTAAATTTTCTTTTGAAATGTACTCAGGTTTGAAATTTTGCACAGTCAAATGAAACAGTTTATTTGATGTTGACAATGAGGTGTTCCTGTGTTTTGTGAGGAATTTACAGTAAATATGTTAATGTCAGACAGTTTTCCAGTATACAAGTTGCATGCATATAAAAAAATTTAATTGGGTGATTAATAATAAAATATTTTGGCTTTTTAAGGGGTTGTCATTTTAAATGATTAATTAAGCATCCCCATTCACTACAATTTCAAGTTTGTTCAAGTAATAATGGATTAGGTGGGACCCTAAAAAGGGTTGATAAATGTAATTTGACAAAGCCTTGTCATTCTGTAAGGAATGGTTAAAACAAATTTAAATCTACAATGTGAAGGGCTGCTTTTATGCAAGTATTGTCTTTTCAGGATCAGTAGTTCCTGAGGAGAATTTTCGAAACAGGTTTCATTATACATGTAGATAAATTGGTTTAAAGAGAGAGAGAGAAAAGCAGTGTAATTCACAAAAGCATTTTGGCCCCTGGGCCCTTTGTTTGATAATGGCGTAAACTTAAATGATTAGTCTTTATTACAGGACAGAGAACACAGGTGATCATTCTGTTCCTGTGCCGACAGAATATCCCCTTGGGGGCCCCTGAATTTGTCCGTAAGGAGGAGAATGCTTACTATTTTGACTTTAAGACTTCGTTGGCCTGCCGACCCCAACCTGTGGACTGCCTGGTCCAGGATCAGAGAGGAAATCAGTATGATTTATCTCCCTTGGCCAGGGCTGGCACTAACTGGCAGGTGCTGGATACAAGGCCACACTACTCAGATTTGACATATTACATCAATGTCTGTAGACCCATTAACACTATAGCAGGATCTACTTGTCCAGGTATGAACTGATCACAAAAAATGAACCAATTTAATGAAAGGATATGTAGTAACATTCATTATCTGTAACATGTAAGGGTTTATGATCAAAAAAATTATTGATTTGTGGATGTCAGAAACTTAGAATGCAAGGATCATGCATAAAACAAAAAAATGTAGCCCAACCACCATTCTCTAACTTGTTTTTTTTTTATTGTGAAATTTTTACTTAATATCTAGTCTAAATTTTGGAACAAATAATTTTTAAGAGAAAATGGCACAGAAAGAAATTTAAAAAATTCACTTGTTCAGATCAAGTTAGATTGATAATATGCATTTATTCTTGGGGCATTTAAGGCACTCCTTGTGTATTAGTCTGTTCATGGCTTATAGCCATGTACATTAGTTAAATGCATTTTTTGCGCACTGCAAGGGAAAGAAATATTAATATAACTTCATTACATCTGCCTATTCTGCCATGGATGAAACGATCTCCTGCAGATAGTTAACCTCCTTTATTTCAAGGTGAAAATGTGGTAAAAGGCTATAAACAAATAAACAATCATAAATTCACAATCATAAGAAATATTCAATCACACATCTCATATGTAAACACATACATACACTGTACATGTACTATCCTAAATAATAATGCAGGTTATCTGATATATTATCGATTTCATAACACAAATAAGTTTATGAGAAGCACATAAAAAAACTCACTAAACTGAATCAGAGATAATTGTGACACCAACATTAAACCGTAGAATAGAAAGTAAATGAATCTGTGGATATTTAGATAACAGTCAAGTATGTTTACTTTAGCGATAGTACAGACAATTAATATAATGACTTAATGACAATCAAGTTCATGCATTGACAAGTTACATGTTTTATGCATAAATTTAACGCGACTCAGTACAAAGTATCATGAAATGTAAATACATGTGTATGGCAATAATGGACCAAAACTGAAAGTACAATACATCAATACTACGATATAGGACATAATTATTTAATTAAATGTAGATACTTACACCGTGGGGAACCAAAACAGACGAGGAAAGTATAGGCATGCAGGCGCCAAAAGAAAATTGTGCATGATACAAAAGAGTTCCACAATTCATTATTACATTAACTCGTACCTACGACATTTGTAAAAAATAATGTTTCGCAAATAAAGATTCAAACAATTGACATGACACTGCCATTTATTATATCCAGTCAATAATTCAATGTTTTGTAGTACTTGATGACAGTATGTGTAAGAACTCTGCATTTCATTTCCGGAATTATTAATTATGCTTAGCATTTCCGACATTTTTTATTTTCATTTCCAACATTTATTTTTTTTTTTTCATTTCGGAACTTTTCCCTACTTCTTACACTTAGTCTAGTGGTCAAATGCAGACATAGAACAATTAGTAATTAAGACCTACATGTATTTTGTTAAATTGACCATATTCAACAACTATAAAACCTAAAACAAGATCAGGGAAATAGAAAAGGAGATTAGTTCACAACACTTACCTATGCCCAAATCTACATTTATTTAGTTTCTTTAAAAGCTAAGCAAACCTTAGTTGGATATCAATGATTTATTTCTTTAAAATTTTCATAAGGAAAGTCTTCTTCAATTATGTTTTCATCGCCAGAAATGTACTACTAAATTTCATAAATGTCTGAAATGAAAACTATGAAACGTCAGAAATGAAAATTGAATATTTAAAAAAATTCCGGAAATGAAATGCAGCCTCCAAGAAAGTATACTTTAAACCATGAATGAAAATAAAGGTTGGAATTCACAAATCGATTGCACAGGTGTCCAATTAGATAATTTTCAATGTAGATGGTTTACAGTTTGATATAAGTATGTTAAAGCAATCACGATCAAATATTCATTGTAAGCATGTTTGCTAAAAACATTTTAGATAAATTATCTTGTACACTTTATAAGGAGTTGGAGGTTTGTAATACACTGGATTAAAAAAACAACAACTGCTATGTAATTAAATGGATCTAAATGATATTGCACGACAATACAGGTGGTCCTGTAGGAGGGTGCCAGGTTTCTAAGTCTGGACGGGCTTACAACATGGGATATATCCAGTCCCAGCCTGTGGTGACAGGGAATGGCACATTGACACTGAGGTACGCAGGTGGTGACCGATGTCACAAGGGTCGACCAACAGAGTCCTCACGCAGCACCAGGATCAACTTCTTCTGCTCCCCATCAGAGGTCAGAGGTCATATGTGTCTCTTAGAAATGTATTCAGTTCAATAGATTTAAGGAGTAAATACTTCTAACAGAGTAATGTTTGTCAAAATTGAGGAATATAATTACCAATAAATGGGTATTGCATTCCTTGTCATTTCTTGCACATGTGTAAATGTGTTACTAAATATGACACTAATACCATTATTTCTCTGGCAGCATAGCCCTAGCTTTGAGGGGGAGACAGACACATGCGAGTACATCTTCAACTGGCAGACCCCTGCAGCTTGTCGCGTAAAGGTAATTTACCATACCGCTGATATGTTAATTATCTTGCATACAATTTCCATAAAGTATAACAATTGTGACTGTATAAACAATCAGAAACTTATTGTTTTTGACAGTACAGATCATCTCTTCATCTAATCATTACTGTTTTCAAGTTATAATATTTGAGAACTAGTGAAGGCATTTACTTTAAGTTTATGAAATAAATGTCTCATTAGTTTCTTAGCCCAGAAGCTGAAGTACACTCTGGTCAAACATCTGCCACTTTCTGTCCTATCCTCCAGGTCCACATTACCAAATTCATCCAAACTTAGAACAAAGCATTATTACATGACAGGGATATGATAAATAAATGTTTCCTATTCAAGGGGAAATCATTCAGGAATAATAGAGGAAAAGGGGGAAATGTACAGCAGCACTTTTGAAGATCCTAATAAACATTTTTTTTTTGTTAGGAAGATTGATACTTTAACCACAATCATAACATATTTTAGCATTTTTAAATCTTAGATTTTGTGATATGACCATCACGTAGTGGTTGAACTCTAATTTCAGACTTTCTTTTTTGTCCAGCCATGGGCATTTTTCTCATCTTTTTTGCCCTCAAATAAATGGAATATTATGATGAAGATCCTCATCAAGTATAAATTCAGTTGTCTCCCTTCCCCCAAGTAGTAAGGATGTGGCCACAAAAGTTTTTCTACAGTTTTGCAAAAAAATTTCATTAATACTGCAAATTATTATGAGAATAGCCAATTTGGCACATGGGGTTTGATGATGCCACACTCTAAATTTATGAAGGAGTAATATACATGTACATGCAGATGTAGTCTCAGATGAACTTTCTGCATTATTTTAAGGAGACCTTGAAGACCAAGGGACCTCATGTTTTATATACATGTACATGAACATGTATGTAATCTCATCTTACTGAAAGTTCCTAAAATGCATGTATCAGTCATAAAGCCAATAAAGTCATAAATAAAATAATAAAGACAAAGTGTACAATGCTGTAATTTCTTTTACTGAGATATTGTGTTCTGGTTTGACAGAGGATTGTTGGTGAGAACTGTTCAGTATCAGATTCCGTATATGGTTACACTTTTGACTTGAATGGCCTCAGGAAAACAAGTGGTAACTATGAAGTAAAGGCTGGAGAGTACATGTACGAACTGAATGTGTGTGGTCCACTGATAACGTCATCTAAGTGTACTGATTCTACCATAGCTTCCTGTCAGACAAAGCTGGCAGACAGCAGCTTCCATCGTGATGCAGGTAATATAAAGGTCAAAGGGGAGTTACCAGTTATAGTGACTTGTTATAAAGTACATGTAGAATACAAGCTGTATATATAGACTACAAGACAGGATAGAATACAAAATATATGTATTCTGCAGTATTAAGTATGGAATATGGATAGGGCCATGTATTTCACAATCGCACCATCAAGCATAGACTAAAGGGTCGATGGCACGATAATGCAATGGCACGATAATGATGAAGTGATGGTGTGATGATGATGAAGGGATGGTGCGATAGCGCAATGATGATGGTGCAACAATGCGATGAGGATGGTGTGATAGCATGATGGAGAAATAGTGTACATCACTTCATCGTACTATTGCACCATTGTCATTTACCCTTGCATCATAGCTATCGCACTATTGCTTCATCTTGCTATCGCATCATGGGCATCGCGCCATCATGTCATTGCCATCGCACCATCTCTTCATTGTCATCGCAGTATCAACCCAAACCTTGATGGTGCGATGAGGCGATAGTGAATTACATGGCCCTATCCAGATTCCATAATTGATTTAATGGCCATTACTTTTATTCACGAGCGAGAAATATCAGCGAATTTCGTGACTTTTTTTAATTGCCAATATTTCTAATCGTGAACCTATGTATTAATATAAAATGTTGTCATAATCGCGAAAAGTTAGTAGTTGCAGATGGATTCTTAACAAAAGAATCGCGAATAAAAGATGTCGCAAATAATAGTTGGTTTACAGTATATAGTACATCTATATATATATGTATTTATCAGGATCGTGAGTGGGTAAAGGGTGCCAACAAAAACTAGGTGATGGGATTTGTTTTAAGTTGTATGAATACATGCAGTTCATAAGATAAGTTATTGGCTGTAAATTGATGCTTCATTCCTTTAGGTCACAGCAGTAGTAGTTTGGTATACAACATTGGGGAGATAACTCTTACATACAATTCTGGACAACTTTGTCATGGCAAGTACAATCGTAGCACAGTGATAACATTTGTGTGTGATCAGTCAAAGTCTGGCCAGGAGGGACCCAGCTTTCTGAATGAAACAGAGGACTGTACCTACCAGTTTGTTTGGCCTACTTCTAAGGCCTGTACCCCATTTAAAGTGGGGGATTGTGGGGTGAGGGGACCGAACGGGGTGCAGTATGATCTGTCAAGCCTCTCCTTGAATGATGATAATTACCAGACAATAGACCACATGGCGAGGAAAAAGTACATCTTTAATGTGTGTCGTTCACTAATTCATCAGAGAGGTAGGATTTTATTTGTAAATAAAAACTGTTTTTTGTGTGTCTGTTAAATCAAAATGTTTGATCACTCTACATGTTAAGTGATGAATTCTATCTTTTTTGATGTGATGGTTTTCTTTTATACTGTTTTTGTCCTCAAGTTTAAGTTAAAAACTATTATCTAGTTTATTGTTATGATAAATTTGACATTGTAGGAGAGACCTGTCCTTTCAATTCTGCTGCCTGCATTGTTGACCTCAGTGAGAAAGATCCAAAGTAAGTTATACCAGATTTCAACCTGTTGACCATCTGAGTCACCCAAGCAACCTGTTGTTATTCATTTCAGTGTGCTGTTGTGCAAGTGTGCATTGACCAATATATTTGAATATTTTTTAATTGTTTATTGAAAGTCCGGATCCAATTTTAGCCATTTTTGGTACTGTACGTGTTACACAGATTAAGGGAAATGAGAATTAGAAATATCATAGTCATCATTTCATTGGACCTAAAAGTATAATGTTAAAACCACCAGACTGAATACAGCCTTCAAAATCTTTAACTCTGGACATCTAGTAGATACACTTATTTGTAGTCCTGATCATAAATGCTGTGAGTCCTCTTCTAAAAACTCATGTGCAACCATGTACCCATGTGCAAAATTTGGACCCAAGGTTGAGGTTAAGTTGATTATTATATCCTCTTCTTTATTACTTAAAGCAGACAAAGATTCTGCAATAAAAAAGTCCTGTAATATAACTGTGAAATACCTGTTCCTTGGGTTCAGAGTTCAGCTCTAGGATGAGGATAAATTGACATCATGATTATGAAAAAACAAGATACTTAAAAGGCTACTTTCTTTGTGAGGACCTATAACCAACAAACTGTACATGCAGTGTGCTTTATAATTTTTTTGCAATGAGCACTTCCATGATATTTTGAAATATTTGGATTGAGATCCACACTGGGTGAAGTTTAGTTGATTTCATGATGAGAGAAGCATGATACTTTGTTGACTGTTACACCACTTGCTCAGTAGATAATGATTCTTTACTTTGGAGTATCCAATATATAACGTAATATTTTTTCACATCATTAGGTAAAATTTTATGTTTTTTTAGGAAGAAATTCCACAACATAGGGGAGGTCAGTGAGGAGCAGGTTATGTTTTTGGACGGTCACTTACAGCTTGTGTACACAAATGGGGAGATGTGTCAGAGTGTCCCCTCCAAACACGTCTCCACCCGCATCCTACTCTACTGCAACAAGGACTCTATTGTATGTGACGTTATGGTTGAACTCTTTCTCCTTTAATGCTGTATAGTTCCGTTAAGCAATATAATAAATCTGTAACTTTCTTTGTTGACTAGGATACTTCACCTGCTGGACACTTTCAGGTGGGATGTGAACACAGGTTTGTGTGGCAGACAGTGGCAGCATGTCAGATGGAAGCTCCAGATGTTACTGGGGGAAACTGCACGGTCACCAACCCCAGATCCGGTAAGTATTAGGTTCAGATAAGATATTGTACAATTTCCACCAAAACTCTGCAATTATCCTTAATGAATTTGATTTAATTAGGACCCTGCAAGGATTTGTGGGTGCCCTATAGTAATCACTGTCTGTGTGTCAATCTTTCTGTCCATCTGTCATTCTTACGTCTACATATTTTCTGGGTTTTTTTCCTAATAATTTTTTTTTATGGTTGACCAGTTAAGTACAAATTTGGTATGTTGGTTAAATAGGCAGTAAGACATATTTTGATGCTAAGTTTGGTTCTCTGTGTCATCTGGTTTGGAGCTGGGGTGGTGGGGTAGATTCCTTAACTTTATACATGTATGAGAATGAATGGGCAAAGAGAGATAACTGCTGAGAATGTTCATATTGTAAATTATGAAAGCTGCAGTGAGTCACTTGGGATTAATTAACTTTCCTCTTGAAGAAAATCTAAAGCATTATCTTTATCTGTCACATTAAGATTAATTAACACCTCTGTCTGCAAAAGTTTGTTTTGAAGTTGAGATCAATTCTGAATGATGTTTACAGTCTCTGAAATGTTCATACTTTACCGGTATTTTGGTTAAAATAGGCAATGAGTTATGATTTTATTATGCCCCGCCATGAATATGGCCGGGGCATATAGTGTTTGTCATGTCCGTCTTACGTCCTTACGTCCTTCCGTCCTTCCGTCCTTCCATCTGTCCTTCCGTCACACTTTGCATTTAGCTCTGTTCAAAGCTCAGTTTCAAAGAAACTATCCAAGATATTTTTATCAAACTTCATATGCTGATAGATATTGATGAGAGCTATGCAACTGCATCAACTTTTTTTGACCTTGACCTTTCCTTTGACCTTGACCTCACTTTTCTTAAATTAGTGTTTAGCTCAGTTTTAAAGATACCATTCAAGATAGTGTTATCAAACTTCAAATGTTGATACATATTGACGAGAACTATTTAACTGCATCAACATGTTTTGACCTTGACCTTTCCTTTGACCTTGAACCCACTTTTCTTAAATTAGTGTTAGCTCAGTTTTAAAGGTACCATTCAAGGTAGTGTAATCAAACTTTATATGTTGATACATACTGATGTAAGCTTTTCAACTGCATCAACATTTTTTGACCTTGACCTTTCTTTTGACCTTGACCTCACTTTTCTTAAATTAGTGTTTAACTCAGGTTTAAAGATACCATTCAAAATAGTGTTATCAAACTTCAAATGCTGATACATACTGATGAGAACTATTCAACTGCATCAGCATGTATTGACCTTGACCTTTCCTTTGACCTTGACCTCACTTTTCTTAAATTAGTGTCAAACTTCATATGCTGATACATACTGATGAGAATTATTCAACTGCATCAATATTTTTTCACCTTGACCTTTCCTTTGACCTTGACCTCACTTTTTTTAAATTAGTGTTTAGCTCAGTTTTAAAGAAACCATTCATAATATTTTTATCAAACTTCATATGCGGATACATACTGATGTAACCTTTTCAGCTGCATCAACAATTTTTGACCTTGACCTTTCCTTTGACCTTGACCTCACTTTTCTTAAATTAGTGTCAAACTTCATATGCTGATACATACTGATGTAAGCTATTCAACTGCATCAATATTTTTTCACCTTGACCTTTCCTTTGACCTTGACCTCACTTTTCTCAATTTGTGTTAAAATATTGCATTACTAATATACCCTCGGCGGGGCATTCATGTCCTATGGACATATTTCTAGTTGAATTCTAAAAACAAGATATAAACAAAGATAGGTTATCTTTTTTATGATTGCTATTTCATTTTTATATTCTGCCTTATTTGAATTCAAGAATACTATTAATTTTAACAGGTAGTTGGATAATAACCTCATTCTATCATTGCTGAAAATGTTCTTAATGTACACTTAAAAGAAAAGGATGAGAGAGCAGTAAAATTAATCCCCTGGGATTTATTATCTTTTCTGCTGCAGAAAATTTAGAAGCTCATCTTTATCTCTCACTTTAAGATTAATTAACAACTTTGTCTGCAACTTGTGTTTATTTTGAAGTTAAGGTCAAGCCTGGGTGATATTTGCATTCACTGAAGGCTGGCATTTTATAAAATGTGTGCTTCATTCTTGTTTTAATATACATTTAATTGAGTTATTATAAGATATGATAATTTTTACTGCCTATTGTAAATACATGGATACTATTTACAGTTTGTTAGATATTTAGGAATTATCTTGAAATTTTATAAATACAGTTGCAATTGCTTGATGTTCTTCTTCATATATTTTTAAATTTTTGTAATCAAGTAAAATTCTTATTCAGCTTCACCCTTATATTTATACTCCTCGCCAGGGTCCTTGCTGACTGGTCAGTTAATTTCTAGTTGACATGTATTTAAAATTTGGCATAGCTTTTAGCCATTGACTGGTACACATTAATGAGTTTTCAGAAAAATATTTGAGTAAATTCCTGTTTGACTAATTAACAATGTTCATCTGAAAATTGGTTGAACATACTTTAATATAACTTACTTTTACTGGATCAAAGATCTGTGGATTAATGTTTTCATTTTAATCTCTGTATTCAAAATTCCCCAAATCTAGGTTTTGGTGGAAAATACCCTTTCTGTAGAAATTGAGAAAATCAGCCAGGGGTCTTGGGGCAAATCCAGACCCCCAACAGGTGCAGGCTGAGCCCTGCTTGGGAGCCCAATTGAATTTCAGCATTTTTATGACCATTTAGAGTGCATAAAATAGCAAAGTAAAACCATATTTCATGTCTTCTGAAAATTTTTACTTTAATAAATTTCTAGTTTTTATGAAGGAAAAAAAATATATTTGAGCTTTTTATTATAATTGTACTAAGGGGAATCTTTTATGCATCAAAAGGGGAAAATAGGATATTCAGGGGAAATTTTCTCATGGGGAAAAATATTGATATCAGTAGCAAACATTCCCTAGATTAATCCCTGATGCATTAACATTCAGATTTCATAAAAAGTAAGTTTGACATCAAAATAAGAGGAGTTCTTATTGTTTAATCCATATCTGCAAATTGACTAGGACCTGGAGTAAAGCATAGTACTCACACAAGAACAAGATATGACAAGCATTATATTATAAAGATTTTGGATATCAATAATATGGAATATAAGTATACTTATAAATATTTCCACCTTACCAACTGTTCTATTCTGCAGGGTATACTTTTGATTTGCACTCTCTCAAAGAAACGAAAGGCTACAATGTGTCAGACAGAGCAGACCACACATTTACCCTGAATGTTTGTCAGGCTGTCACTGGAACCAGGTGTAAAGATAAATCAGGTAGGAAGATTAAAATGCTTCATTCACTGTAGCAGGATTTAAATTAGCAATCGAGGTGAAAAGTTTAGCTTGAAACAGAACATAGCAACAGCAAAGCTGTCAATGTGACAGCAAACTGGTTTTCTTTTGTGTGAAAAAAGTACTGTACTGGTTTTTAATTCTTACATAAATTATTTAACTTTCTATTTTGAAAAGTTTAATATGAGGTGACTGACGTCCTGACAATATTAATGTACCGTATAAACATAAAAACATTTGCATAAAAATAACAAAGTTCAACAACTGGTATTTTCCACATAAATGATCAAAAATGAAAGTCTGAGTACCATGCATATGTCTGATAAATGTAGTTCACAATTGATATGTGAAATAAAAACATATCCTGAAAACTGTAGGAGGAGTTATCCAGATTAAATGATGTACCATATAAACAATTAACTAAGTTCAACAACTGGTGTATCAAAAATAAAAATCCAAGACCACACTAAATTTTGAGTCCTCTCAGCATCTTCAGAAACACATCCCTTTCAAACCATATATTTTGACTGCACACCATTTTATTAAATGTAGTTCACTGTTTTCTTTGAAATTTTGAAAGTTAAGACTCAGCTCTGAAATCTTGACACGCTTGATACTACAATATTTTCTATAGTCCTGCTGATGTCAAGATATCAAAGTCTAGCTGTATTATTTAATAAGTAATAAAAGGGATATGTTCTTTTTATACATTTATACTATGTGTATAACTGTTGTAGGTGCTTGCCAAGAGGAAACTAGAGGACAGTTGAGATCATTTAATGCTGGAAATGCTAATGCTAAGTTACAGTATGATGATGGAATTCTGTTCCTGAATTACACAGGGGGAGATAAATGTCACCAAGATCAATTTGAGCGGAATGTTATTATCAGTTTTATTTGTTCGCTGGGTGCTGGTCGGGGCCACCCAGAATTCATTGCAGAAACTGATGATTGTACCTATCAGTTTGTGTGGCACACTGAGCTAGCTTGTGAGGAACAGGTAATTTCTTATTTCTGAAACAGATTTTCCAACCAGCATTTAAGATTTGCCAATTTGTGTGTGTGTGTGTGTGTGTGTGTGTGTGTTTTGCACTGTCATACCTTAGGCAACAAAATTGTAGGTATGGGGTTAGATACTGATGAAAACAAAAAATACAATATCATACTGATCTTTATGAAACAGTGTATCATTTATGATTCAGAACAGTATTATGAATTGAAATAATCTTCAAGTTGACAGCATTTCACCATGCATGTGAGTTAAGGCTATGTATAAGCCTTTCCATGCAAGTGAGCTAATATAAACGTATGAGAGGTATATTTATTATTCAGAGAAAGTTTTTATTTATTTTTTTATACTATTTATTACCCACAATATGTTATAGTCAGTACACATTATGACGTCATATCATGATGTTTGTTCTTACCTACAGGGGTTAATAATACAAATCAACAAAACAGCTTCGGCGCAAGGGATTATCCTACTTAATTTGACATAAAAATTGTATAATGTGTAGAAGAATATTCTGTAGATTAATAAAACTGCTGCACAGATCCTTGGTATTTTCTCATTTGATCTGAATTTGAGGAAACATATACCATGCTGTACATTTTTACCCTTATTCAACTTAAAACTTTACAAATAGTAATGAAACAACCAAGCTGTTGATATTTATGCAACAATACCAACAATCCCTGGAATATTTTGCTTCTTAATATACCTTAATTGTTTCAGTTAGATAAAATAATGCTTGCCCTTGTGCCAAAGCTTTTTTGTTGATTTCCTTTATAATCTTGTGTAGTACCTGTAAAGAACAATGACATCATAATGTGTACTGGCTGTATCATGTCATACCAAGTATGTAATAGACAATAGTTTTAACTTCTTCTGTATAATAAGTATAGTCCTAAGGCATTTTAATTAGTTTATTTGCATAGAAATGCCTACACCTAGCCTTAACTCTTTTGCACAATATCAAATTGAATGTAAAGTGTAATAATCGTGATTGTAATAATGAAAAGTACTGTAATTGTTAACATCAAGATAGCCAGGATACAGTTGTAAATATTCTATATTCAACAGTGGCATATTTGAAGGAGGGGAGGATTGTGAACCCTTTCCTTCCCAAAATTAATAGCATTATCCATTTTTTTTTCTTGGTAAATCTTTTAATATTAATTTTATAAAAAAGTAATCCCTTTGGAACCAATAAAAACCTAAATTCTGTTTTACAGGTAAGGTGCTCTGTAGAAAAGGATGGTTACACGGTAGATCTGGCTCCCTTGATAAAGAAATCCGGCCATCATCTGGCTGTGTCCACAACCAGACGAGGATCTACCACTAACGGTACATTCTACATCAATATCTGTCGCCCTCTTAATCCTATATATGGAAAGCTCTGTCCCCCTGGAGCTAGTGCATGCTGGGATAGAGTAGGAAAGTCACCCATTGTAAGTGTATTCACAGTAAATTGTGTAACATTACAGCTGTTTTCTCTGTGAGGATCTACATTGCAGCTTTGTATTGTTTATTGGCACTGTTTGAATCTTTGTCTGCTTTATATTGAATCTGGATTTACCAGTGGAGGCAGATAGAAAACTTAATATGTGTCTTATGTTTTGCAGAGTCTAGGTAAAGCAAGGAGCAGGCCTCAACTGGATCCAGTCACTAATAAGATTTACCTTCTATATGACCATGGATCTAAGTGTCCAACAAATGCCTCTACAAGTATTACCACAAAAATCATCTTCAATTGTCGGCCAGGACCATCTGCTGTAATTCATATATAGTAATTTAAGGATGTAATGATACTGCTAAAGCGTGTCATGATATGTATCATGATACACTGGAACAGTATCACAATACGTATTGCGATATTTCACCTTTACCTTCAACTCCCTGCCATGTCTTACAGACGCAGGTGAGTTAAGGATAGGTAAAGACATTTCTATGCAAATAATTTAATTAAAATGCCTAAGGACTATATCTATTATACAGAGAAAGTTAAAACTTATTGTCTAATACATACTTGGTACCCACAACATGAGATAGCCAGTACACATTATGACGTCATATTATGACGTCATTGTTCTTTACTACACAAGATTATAATGGATATCAACAAAAATGCTTCGGCGCAAGGGCATGCTCTATTTTACTATTTTTATTTTTTTTTGAAAAAGTGCTTTGACACCAGAAAAGAAAGTCAGCAATGAATACTTAGAAATATGTGAATATACTCTACATTATTTTGTTCAACTCACATTTGTCACTTTGTATATGTATGTATTATTCTTGTTAATTCGTTTTATGTCATGACTGTATGCCGACATGGTAATTGTCAATAAAGTGAATTGAATTATTATTATTTTATTTAACTGAAACAAGGTATATTTAGAAGCAAAATATCCCAATGTTTGCTGGTATTGCTGCACAAATATCAACATCTAAGCTGTATAATTTCTATTTCTAGGGTTTTAACTTGAATAAGGGTAAAAATGTACAGTCCAGTATAAGTTTCCTCAAATTCCGATCAAATGAGAAAATGCCTAGGATTTGTGCAGCAGTTTTATTAATCTATAGAATATTCTTCTTAGCATTAGACAATTTTTATGTAGAAATAAATAGGGTAATCCCTTGCGCCGAAGCTGTTTTTTTTATGTGTTTTATTACCTCAAGTAGGTAAGATCAGTGACGTCATTATGTGACGTCATAATGTGTACTGGCTATAACATATCTTGGGTACTACGTATGCATAAGAAAATAAATCAACACTTTCTCTGAATAATAAATATACCTTTTGTGCTTTTTTTATTAGCTCATTTGCATAGAAACGCCTATACATAGCCTTAACTCACATGCGTATAATGGTCATTATACAAAGAAAGTAAAAATGTAACAATGTTTACGATTAAGGTCTGAAGACATATTCTTCAAACCTCTTGTTTTGTATCTCTTTGTAATATACAACAAATTAATTATAATTTTCATTGTCTTGTGATTTCTAAACTGTTTTTAAAATGTTTTCAGTGAATAGAGACACAAAAAAATTGTGTTATTGCCAATACTAGTGATTTCCAAAAGGGTTGTGTAGTAAACAACATCCTCTGGTATCTTGCACAAGTACCTTAATTTTTTGTGAGGATCGAATCTTTTTAAAGCAGCAATACTTTAATGACAAATTCTTGGGAAAAATTATCTATTATTGAGGAACATGTCGTATGACCTTAATATGATATAAATACTATTTCAATAATCTTAATTTAACTCTGATCATTGTAATCTTTAGACTGTACTTTGTATTTAAGGGTGTGCCAAAGTTGGAGTATGTAAATGGTTGTCAGTATATATTTGAGTGGGACACCAATGTTGTTTGTGAGAGAAATAAGACTGATGTTCCTAAAAGGAATTGTGTTTATATGGACCCCATCACCAGGGCAACATATAGTCTGTCAGGCCTCAAAACTGATCAACCAATTCAGGTGAAATTCTACCTCACTGCTCAACTTATAGGATTTAAAGTTTAAATTTGAATAAGCAGTTAAGTTACCTGATAAAATTTTTCTATGAAATTCATCAGAAGTTATGGATATTTGATTGCACCCTTTTATACTGAATATGGTTGTAAGAAGTGATACACTATTCTTTATATTCAGTTTCAAGTTGTCTGTTATTTTTTATATAAAATAAAAAGATTATGCTCTGTTAAAATGCTCAAAAAAGTTATTATCTCTAGATTCTGAAGTTAAAGGAATTGTATCTGCAAGCCAGTGCCTTTAACAAATCTTGAAAATGTAACACGCTTTAATATTAACTTACAGCAGCTGTAGTTTATCATTTCAGGGATGTGTATACTCTATTCTTTCTTTTAGCTGACCAGGAATGGTGTGAAATACTTGATAAATCTCTGTGAAGGTTTTGGTCCCAATTATCCTGGTTGTGAAGATTCCTCCATTTGTCGCTGGAATGGGGTCAAAGGTCATGGTTATGGCAACGTCACTACTGGTCAGTTCATCACCAGTGAGGAACAGCTGAAACTGGTCTACAAGAATGGAGAGGATTGTCAAGGTGATCTGGAAGTACTGGCTTCATACTCCTTTTGACCTAAATGGAACTCCATTCAATATCTTAAACATTCTCTCCTAGCATAATGTAACATTACATGCTTTTGTTTTTTGGTCTGAATTTTTTTCATCCAATTTCTAGGGGTGGTCACTGTTCATAGAAAATAACATTCTCTCCAAAACAGACCTTTTTATCTAATTTTCACAACAACACTGTATAAGAAGTCAAGCCATGATAAAAAATTATTTAAGGAAATATAGATGATATCCCTGCAGTATCCAAGACCAGGGCTCATCACATTTCATCTGAATGTTGACATCTAACAAATCTTGTAATGGCCTTAGATAGTGAAGTTCATGAAATCTACATTCTGGGTTAAGAACAAGCTTGGAAGTCAATGGGCAGTTAAAGTCACTGTTGTGTATAACAGAGGATAAGATGAGATTTTTGTCCCCCGCTTTCACTGAAAGTGGGGGATATTAATTTGGGTCTGTCTGTCCGTCCGTCCGTATTTTTGTCTGTCTGTTACACTTTCGTTTCCGCGCGATATCTCGAGAACCCTTTGAGCTTTCGCAATGAAATTTTGCATAGCAACTCCCTATCGCCTAAAGAAGAACTGTATTGATTTTGAGGTCAAAAGGTCGAAGGTCAAGGTCATAACTTCATAAATTCTGTCTGTTTTAACACTTTCGTTTCTGCGCGATATCTCGCGAATTCTTTGAGCTTTTGTAATGAAATTTTACATGACAACTCCCTGTGGCCTAAGGAAGACCTCTATAGATTTTGAGGTCAAAGGTCAAAGTTCAAGGTCATAAATTCATAAATTCCGTCTGTGTGTAACACTTTTGTTTCCGGGCCATATCTCAAGAAGCTTTTGAGCTTTTGCAATGAAATTTTATACCATAACTCCCTATAGGCTCGAAGTGTCCCACCCCTAGACAGAAAATGATAAATGTCCTATGGACCCGGTTTAACGATATAGAATGCGTTTCGTGTATTGTCAATGTAGCAGAAGAAAATACGGGAGATAACTCTAACTCAGTTCATTTACTATGGAAAATCCCGAGAGTTCCGAATGTCAACATGGTGTGTAAATTTGAAACGAGTAAAAAACGTTGGTGAAAAAGTGTTGAATTCTTCCATAATATGGATTAAATTTTTAGATGAAAGGTATTTACAGTCTCAAAAAGGTTTGTTATGATTAAGTTGACTGTTATTTTCAATGCAACTTTATTAATTTTCTCCAAAATCGTTTCGGAGCGATTCTGCAATTTTCTGCTACATTACGGGTATATGGGGGGCATTCTAACTGTGGTGAGGGTCATCCCGAGACACAGTTAGATTATTCTAACTATGCACCCCGTTTTTAATTTTATTTATTTATTGTATTAAAAGTCGCTTGGCACTATTTTTAGCACAAGGGCATGTGGAGTGTTATTACATATAATACAGGTTGTCGGCGGACTTTATATTCTGATTACATATATTAGAACTGTTTAGTAAAGGCTAAATTAGACACCATGTATTGATTAAAATTTTGACAATATCTAACGTGAAAATAAACATTAGAAGTGACTTGATGTTTGCATTTAATGTGGAGTATATTCAAGTGCCTCTGTGGTCTAGTGGTCTGATGTTCGCTTAACAAGCAAGAGGCACCTGGTTCAATCTCCGGACGATTCTCTCTTTTTTTTTAAATGTTTTTTTTTCTTCTCTTTTTTTGGATTTACTAAATAATACTACTCAACATGTGAAATGAAAAAGTTATGATGTCTGGCATGTACAAACTCATAAAATCATTATTACAGTGTGATAAATATTCTGTATATATTATTAAAAAAGAATCTTCTATGTACATGATGTACACATATTAAAGAATAAGCAATCAAATCTTTATATCCATATTGGCTTTTTTTAAATTTGCTTCAATATACATGTATACATTTAATAATTCTACAAATACAGAGGGGCAGTGTGACCCCCCCCCCCCCCCCCCCCCCCGAACTGCGCATGCTCTTCTTTTTTCCCTAAGCAGGGGACACAAATTCTCTGATTTAGCTTGTTGGTTTTTTTTTGTATACAGGTAACAGTGAGGGAGTCATTAACTTTGAGTGTGAGTTATACACCTACCCAGGATCTCCCACTATCACAGTAAGAACTTTTTGTTGTTTATAGACTTAGTGTTTATTAGTTAACCAATTGGTAATTTATTAGAGAAAAATACTTTATTAAAAAAGCAAAGCAAAGTCCCACAAGTTTTTTTTCCCTCAATATACACCCATCCAAGTGCTACATGACTTTTGCATATATTTTGTGTCAGTTGAAATGGTCTGACTGTATTTCCAAGTTAAACTTTGATCTTCAATTGTGGCCCCATCCTAACCCCAGGGGCCATGATTTGGACAAACTTGTCACTTAAAATGGTCTTACTGTATTTCCATGTAAAACTTGATCTACTGTTGTGGCCCCACCCAACTCCCGGGGGCCATGATTTGGACAAACTTGAATCTACACTACCTTGAAAAGAAGATTTTAAGGATTTTTCTATGTTAAACTATGATCTTCTATTGTGGCCCCACCCTAACCCCTGGGAGTCATGGTTGGAATAAATTTGAATGTATATGTTCATTAAAAAAGCTTTCGCACACGTTTCATCTTTTGGTCAAGTGGTTCCTTTTTTTAAGACAGTCCCACACTATTTTTGTCTATTCTTAATTATTTCCTCTTGAAAGTGCCCTTCATATGAACAAACTTGAATTCCCTTCACCCAAGGATGCTTTATGGCAAGCTTGGTAGAGGTTCAGAAGAAGAAGTCAAAAATGTGAACAGTTAACAGAAGGACAGAGAACGGACAGGACAATAAGAAAAGAGCATACTAATTGAGCATATTAGAAACCTAACAAGGAAATATCTAAATGTCAAGACATCAAATGATACAAATGCATCCAAAATACATGTATTTATTCAAATTTGACTGAAGAATGATAAATGTGCATATTACTGTACATGTAACTGATAAGCAAGAATGTATATGATAAGGTTGGTAAAAAAGGATATAATAACAAGGTATGGTTGACAATATAAGTAATTGATAATTTGAACTTTTTTTTGTCAGTTCACCAGTGAGTGCCAGGGAACATTTCGTTGGGGTACTAGGGCTGTGTGCCCAACCATAGCTGACCAGTGTACTCTGGCCCAAAATGGACATGTATATGATCTTAGTGTGTTGTCACGACAACAGGGAAGCTGGAATTTAACAGATGCACAAGGAAACACGTGAGTACCGTAATTTTTGGGGTATATGTCGATGGGGTATATAGGTTGAAAGGCTCATTTTCAGCCGTAATTTTTAAAAAATCCTTAGATAGGACGAATTTGGAAGATAGGAAGAGGCTTTGTTTATCGATTTTCTAGAGATTCTTACGTAGATACAACTGTACTATGTATCAGAACATGTATACCTCTTTAATATAACCCGTGATATTAACGTATTGAGAAAATAAACTGGTATTTTTATGAGTGCAGCATTTTAATAGTGTTTATACAAACATAGTTAAAACTTCCTTGAATTGTGATATAACGTGTTTTCTCCAACTTGCCTGTTCAATGCCGTCGTAGTTTGACTCTTGTTAAACACAAAAATACGGTAGTATACAACAGCTATAATTAGAGTAATACCCGAAATCAAACAATAATCATTTCCATTTTAGAACATCGTGGACACATTCCTTAATTCCGACATTAAAAATCTATTAGAAGCCAATCTTTGTATAATTCAGTGTACCATTTGGGATATAAAACAAAATAGTTATGACTAGAATAAATTTAGGAATTTACTGGCAAAAATTTATTTCACGCATTTTACATTTAAATAAATGTCACAAGACGATGAAAAAATATTTAGGTATACTATTTCAATTAATCATTACAAATAAATGTAAAAAAAAAAAGATTACAATTGCGATTGTGAAAACTCTTCCGTATTTTAAACTTTGATACGGTTGCGGTTTTATTTTTAGTAAACGATTGCGACTTCCAACTTCACAAGATGGACACAGCATGTTGTAAATATACTTTGAGACATTATTTACTAGATGATATATTAATTTTTTTTGTACATCAACAGATATTTAATGGAACTTATTTTGTAAGAAATCAATGGAATAAATATTTAATTCTTTATTGTGTATTTTTTTCTCGGTAAAATAATTTTAAAAAATACGAAAATGGCACAGATTTGCTTTGAAATTGACGTAAATTTTACTGTTTTGGGGGCATTTCTCGTAAACTTGAGCCTTAGATAGGTCGACTTATTAGATAGGACGACCCCAGCGGTTCTGAGAAAAAAAAAGTATCACCCTATCTTCTAAAACTTACGGTATATTCAGAAATCAGAATTCTGAGTGGTCATTGATAAATTTACACCTGTATTATGAAATCATAGCTTACATATACATTCATGATCTGTTGATAAAAATAAATCACATGAATGAATCAGTGTTCACAACAGAAATAATTCCATAATAAGCTTCAATTTTTATTTTATGTCTAGTTTGTAGGAACTGCTGTATGAGAAGTTAGGAAGAATCTTGTTTTGTGTTGTGATTTTCTTCCTATTGTTATACCAGGTAGTTAATATATCATTACTTTACATAGTTACTGGATAAACATCTGTCAGGGTGTTCACAATGGACCAGATGCTGGGAGATGCTCAGACAAGTCGGCAGCATGTCGCCGTACACCAGATGGCAGGGTGGACAGTATAGGAATGGTTACATCACAGAGTCTTGTTATGGGAGGTATAGTGACTTGTTTCAATTCTGTAAATTGCCTTATGTGTCAGTTTCAATGATTTCATTACTGTCAATATATTTCCCAGTGTGCAACAACAAGACTAGCTGATGCCCAGATAATAGGACTGACAAGATACTAGGTCAATACTTGCAATATTGGTGAATTAGTGAAGTATTTTTAGCTCACCTGAGCCGAAGGCTCAAGTGAGCTTTTCTGATCACATTTTGTCTGTAGTCCGTCTGTCTGTCCGTCTGTCCATCTGTAAACTTTTCACATTTTCGACTTCTTCTCCAAAACCACTGGGCCAAATTCAACCAAACTTGCCACAAAGTACCCTTGGGTAAAGGGGATTCAAGTTTGTTCAAATGAAGGGCCACGCCTTCTTCCAAGGGGGAGATAATTAAGAATTCGTGAAAAATTAATGGCATCATTAAAAAATCTTCTTCTCAAGAACCACTGTGCTTGAAAATATGAAACTTATGTGGAAGCATCCTCAGGTAGTGTAGATTCAAGATTGTTCAAATCATGACCCCTGAGGGTCAGGTGGGGCCACAATGGGCGATCAAAGTTTTACATAGGAATATATAGGAAAAATCTTTAAAAATCTTCTTCTCAAGAACAGCAAAGCCATGATTGGTCATATTTATATGGAAGCATCCTCAGATAGTGTAGATTAAAGTTTGGTCAAATCATGACCCCCAGGGGTCGGGTGGGGCCACAATGGGCGATCAAGGTTTTACATAGGAATATATAGGAAAAATCTTTAAAAATCTTCTTCTCAAGAACAGCAAAGCCATGATTGGTCATATTTACATGGAAGCATCCTCAGATAGTGTAGATTCAAGTTTGTTCAAATCATGACCCCCAGGGGTCGGTTGGGGCCACAATGGGCGATCAAAGTTTTACATAGGAATATATAGGAAAAATCTTTAAAAATCTTCTTCTCAAGAACAGCAAAGCCATGATTGGTCATATTTACATGGAAGCATCCTCAGGTAGTGTAGATTCAAGTTTGTTCAAATCATGACCCCCGGGGGTCAGGTGGGGCCACAATGGGCAATCAAAGTTTTACATAGGAATATATAGGAAAAATCTTTAAAAATCTTCTTCTCAAGAACAGCAAAGCCATGATTGGTCATATTTACCTGGAAGCATCCTCAGATAGTGTACATTCAAATTTGTTCAACTCATGACCCCCGGGGGTCGGGTGGGGCCACAATGGGTGATCAAAGTTTTACATAGGAATATATAGGAAAAATCTTTAAAAATCTTCTTCTCAAGAACAGCAAAGCCATGATTGGTCATATTTAAATGGAAGCATCCTCAGATAATGTAGATTCAAATTTGTTCAATTCAAAACTCCCCTCCTCCCCCCCCCCCCCCCCCCCCCCCCCCCCCCCCCCGAACCACTTTTATATTTAAACTTTTCAACCTTTCAAGACTGAACTGATTTCTGCTTTTTCCTAGCCATAGTGCTCAGGTGAGCAATGTGGCCCCTGGGCCTCTTGTTATATTTATTTAATTCATATTAAAATAAGCATAAAAATGTGTTTTACATGTCTTTTTCTTTGGCTTGTGGGTTTCTGTAAGTATTAAAACATTTCTAGAATTTTCAGGAATTTTGTGTCTCTGTACACATTGGGTTTAACCCTCAGTTAGTTTACAAAAGACACAAAAGTACTCATAGACTGTTAAAGAAGTTGGAAAAAACAAGTCAACATATTTTTGAATAAAAGATCTGAATACATTTGTATGTATTCACTGTTGTACTGTATCTGATTCAGACTACGCAGTACAGTTAAGGTGACAAATGAAAATATTGGCGAATTTTTTATATAGAAAATACATTCTTTACAAGGATGGGCGATTCTTTTTAGGACTTTACTATTATCAGACAAATGTAATGTGGTTGAAAACTACATGTTGGGGACGATTAGATTTCTTACCTAGACTTGTGACGTAATGTGGCAGTCACGTGATTTTAGCAAATATACCTGCAGTATTGAGGTCATCTATAAATTCCAATATTGCAAGGGCATAACCACGTTGAAAATCTAAGTTTAATTTATAATTATTTTCAGCACTCTTTGTAGTTTGTGAAAAGTGCTGCGAACCTATATAGATTCTACTATATGACTGCTAAAATTACGTTTGTTAGACCGTATGCTGAATATTTTGCTGGTCAAGTACATTAAATATAGATATAATTAATTCATTTGCAAGATTTCATCAGGTTTGCAGCACTTTTCAAATATCTTCATACCTCTTGAGTTTATGTGTAAAAGCTTGTCATAATCCATTGAGGGTATGCCCTTGCAATATATTGATTTATTACGACCCTTCTGTTACCCTTCAATGAATCTGCATACAAACATACGGCAGTATCGCTTGTCTAGGAAATGTACGGGAAGTATATGATTAAAATCATAAAATATACATCGCATCCAAGTTAATAGCATCTTATATATCTGCAAATATATTTTATTTACTTACAAAATACATTTTTCATTGTATAAAATATAACTTGATCCGCCTCTCACTGCATACAAACTGCGTCAAATTTTGCGATATGACGTCACATTGACAAGTGCATTGCGATCAGTGAATTGTTTATATATTGCTCTGTGGGATTAAACCAACGACAAAAATACATGCAATAGTAAGTATTGATGTAGTTTAAAGTTATCCAACAGTTTAAAATAGCAAATCATTTCATTTTGTGGTAATTTGAAGAACATATACATTTGTGTGATGTCATAGTAAGCATTTCCCGTAAAAATTAGGCCCCGCCTCCTTACTGCAGCCTTAACTGTGCTGCGTAGTTATTATTCAGTCTTGACTGGGCTAGTGCTTAAATGAGGTATTTGTGCACACTGATTTCCAAAGAGAGATGGATATATTTTGTCATTTCTAGTCATTTCAATATGTGTTTTATTCATTCTTGACAGATGATGGGAAAACACTAAAACTTGAATATTCAAGTGATGATTTGGCATGTGCCAATAAACACAGACGGAGTGATAACCTGAAGACGAGAACTGTCATACAGTTTGAGTGTGGTAATTCTGTAGGAGGACCAGTTTACATTCCCAGGTAGACAACAGTTTTACAAATTTAAATAACTTATGACTAAGACCAACATTTAATTCTGCTTGCAACTTTTTATTTTACATTATATTGAAAATGGTTTTAATCTTTTTAAAAGAAAATTATTCTGCAGCAATGATTTTCAATTTTAAATGTATTTGAATGAAAATGTTAATAATCTAAATTATTAAATCATTTAGATTATTAACGTTTTCGTTCAAATACACATAAAATTGAAAATCAGTGGCTGCAAAATAATTTTTCTCAAATTAGCATGGGATGTTTTGAAATGTTGTTTTGAAATATAATAACCGTAGTTCAGTCGGTAGAGCACTCGCTCTGTGATTGGAAGGTCGTGAGTTAGAATCTTGGCTGCGACTGACCTAAGTCGATAAAAAATAGGTAGCATCTGTTCCTTCGCCATGTGCTCGGCACTTTGAAGTGAAAGTTGCGAGTCCTTCGGACTCCTTCGGCAGGTGTTGGCATGATAAAGATTCCTCACTGCTCAATGGCCCTGAGTGCCGAGTAAAGGTCAAAATTTGAAGCCCTTCACCGATATATGGTGACTTCTCTATATGAGTGAAAAGTTCTCGAATGGGATGTAAAACAACAAAAAATCAATCAATCATGAAATATAATTATTAATTATTTGAAACAATATTTGAATTGAAATACAAAGTTTTGACAATATTTATATATATTTCCATTTCTATTTGTTTTCTCTGTGATAACTCTTTGAAAGTTAGGAGAGTTGATTTCTTGATCATTCTAACGGAATGCAAATTTTGCCAAGCGAAAGGTCACGAGCTAAGAAGGCCTAATATGCATGTAATTCTCGTGCGGCTGTCTTTGTGTTTGATGTCAGTGGGCGGGGTCTATTGAAATTGACATGTGAGGCCTCGTGTAATTTAAATCTATAAGTCTACATTTTTAAAATCTAAATTTACAATTTTATTTCAAAATGAAATGGAAATATAAGGAATCACTGTCTAGTTAGTAGAGTATGCCAGGGACATCGATAGTTGGAAACGTGGGATAATTTATGCATAATGGGCAAATTATCCCACGTTTCCAACTATCGTTGATGTCAACGATAGTTGGAAATGTGGGATAATTTATGCATAACGGGCTTCGCTCGTTATGCAAATTATCCCATGTTTCCAACTATCGTTGATGCCCTGGCATACTCTACTAACTAGACAGTGATTCCTTAAGTAAATGCATGCATATATTGTACATTTACTTCTATTTTGTATTTTTTTAAAATTCATATCGTTTTAGACAAACCAATGTCCGTGAGTGTGTATTTGAGTTCAAGTGGAAGTCCATTGTTGCCTGCCAAGTGGAGAGGTAAGGAATCGTATCAGTAAGCATACTGTACAATCATATAAAGCACTCTTTACTGTACAACCATATAAAGCACTCTTTACTGTACAGTCATATAAAGCACTATTTACTGTACAATCATATAAAGCACTCTTTACTGTACAATCATATAAAACACTCTTTACTGTACAACCATATAAAACACTTTTTACTGTACAATCATATAAAGCACTCTTTACTGTACAACCATATAAAGCACTCTTTACTGTACAACCATATAAAGCACTCTTTACTGTACAATCATAGAAAGCACTCTTTACTGTACAACCATATAAAACACTTTTTACTGTACAACCATAGAAAGCACTCTTTACTGTACAACCATATAAAGCACTCTTTACTGTACAACCATAGAAAGCACTCTTTACTGTACAATCATATAAAGCACTCTTTACTGTACAACCATATAAAGCACTCTTTACTGTACAACCATATAAAGCACTCTTTACTGTACAACCATATAAAGCACTCCTTACTGTACAATCATATAAAGCACTCTTTACTGTACAACCATATAAAACACTTTTTACTGTACAACCATAGAAAGCACTCTTTACTGTACAACCATATAAAGCACTCTTTACTGTACAACCATAGAAAGCACTCTTTACTGTACAATCATATAAAGCACTCTTTACTGTACAACCATATAAAACACTTTTTACTGTACAACCATAGAAAGCACTCTTTACTGTACAACCATATAAAGCACTCTTTACTGTACAATCATATAAAGCACTCTTTACTGTACAGTCATATAAAGCACTCTTTACTGTACAGTCATATAAAGCACTCTTTACTGTACAGTCATATAAAGCACTCTTTACTGTACAATCATATAAAGCACTCTTTACTGTACAACCATATAAAACACTCTTTACTGTACAACCATATAAAGCACTCTTTACTGTACAACCATATAAAGCACTCTTTACTGTACAACCATAGAAAGCACTCTTTACTGTACAACCATATAAAGCACTCTTTACTGTACAATCATATAAAGCACTCTTTACTGTACAACCATATAAAACACTCTTTATTCAGGAGGAGCTAATTGCACAATGCAGTCTGCTTGTGAAAATGTCATTCTCGCATATAATTGTATTATTAAAGATTAAAGTAAACAAAAACCAGAATTTGTGAAAATTTTGTCTTGCTTATAAGTGCAATAATACTATCTCGCAAAAATGTGTTGTGAAAATATGGTGATTTAAGTTGGTGATGGAAGCTGTCAAACAAAGTATCACTCCAATGATTGTTAGAAGATAAATGAAAATGAATAATTTTTTTAATTAATACTTGTATACGTCAATCTGTAATTAATTCCCCCCCCCCCCCCCCCAAAAAAAAAGAATAACTCTGAATTTCTTGAATTTTTCCCCCACAGAAATTCTTGAATATTGCTATGAATTTTAAATAAAAAAATGGAATGAAAAATGATTGGTTTTGATTATAGACACAGTGTCCAGGAAGACAGAGGCAAAATAATGGATCCTAAATCAGGTTCAATAATAAATATCACCAAGTTGTATGGGTAAGTTGTGTGTTTTAAATCTGTAGCATAGAGGTCAATTTTTTTTCTTATTAAAATGCAATATGCCTTCTAAATAAACTAAGATTGTGTACGGTTCTTATTCATGTTTGGAATGAACAGTGAAACTCTGTGTATTTTAAAGCCTATGGATTCTGACTGATATTTACAGACATTATTTGATGATTTTTTTCCTCCCTTCAGTCAGTTATGGAAGTGCATTTCCTAGTGTTTTACTCAATGGAAATTGTCACTGGTGATAAGTAATTGATGTTTGTGACATTCAGCTTTTATGAATTTGAAAATGATCACCTGTATTGTCCACCCAGTGTTACTTATCTTTACATATTTCTCTTCATATTTATTGCTCATTTAATAATTAATTTATGGTAAATAAAAAGATAACCCCCCCCCCCCCCCCCCCCCCCAAAAAAAAAATCAACAAAGCATACAACTTGATTAGTAGAAGTTGTGAAATTTCCACAGTTTAATAAAAAAAAAATTCAGTCACAATTTTTTCTTTTTACCAGATTACACTCTGTGTCCGGTGTTTCTGCAGATTACGAGATTGACTTGTCTGGAGAGAGAACTTCCTGTTCTGGCAAGACAGTTGTCTGTAGGTTACACAGATCCCAGGCCACTAAGACACCTGTAGGACTTGCAACAGGCTGGCAATTTTATGTTGAAGGTAGGGCAGAAGTTTTATATTGAAAGTTAGGGCAAGAGTTTTATATTGAAGGAAGGCAGGTGACAGTTTTATATTAAAGGGAGGGTAGCAGTTTATATCTAAGGGAGAGTGACAATTTTATATTGAAGGTAGGGCGAGAGTTTTATATTGATCAGGTAGGATGAAGGTTTATATTAAAGGTAGGGCAAGAGTTTATATTGAAAGTAGGACAACAGTTTATATTGAAAGTAGGGCAACAGTTTATATTGTAGGTAAGTTGATAGTTTTTAGCTCTACTGGTCAGAGACCAGAAGAGCTTATGCGATAGTAAGGTGTCCATCGTCCGTCCATGTGTCCGTCTGTCTGTAAACAATTTTTCAAAATGCTACTCCTCCTATACAGTACAGGCCACGAGTTTTCCCCGTCGCACGGTGGAAAACACACCGTGTGAAATGCTCTGTGTCACACCGTGTACACGGTGTAGCACGGTGTGTGTGGATTTGAAATACACAGGTAGGCACACCGTGTCGCACCGTGTCTTGAAAAATCCCAGCTAATGCTCCCCGTGTCGCACCGTGCCCAGAAAATTCCCTCCGTGCCGCACCGTGTCCATAACATTACAGAGAAAATCGTTTGGTTCAGATAAACAGTTTAAAATTTAAAAACAATTAGTCACTTTGATTTATATAATTATGTATAATTATCGTTTTAAAATCTAGAAGACGTTGAATGTGCTCTGAATCGTACTAATGACACATTTAGTATTTATTTTTATATTTAAATTTATATAAATGTATATTTAAAAAATGGTTTTGAATTTATAGTGCGCCCAGAAGTTTGTATTTCGTAAAGTTATTTAGTTACTTTTTAAAATTATCATTTGGATTGAAATTTTTAATGTCCGAAGAATTTAATTCCATGAGCTCATTCATGCAACGAAGAAAGGCAATAAATAGCATGATCCATCGAGCTGCATTACATGTAGTATACGATCCGAGCTGCAGTTGTTTTAGTATACAATCAAAGCATTAATTTTATATTCCTGAGTAGAGCACATTTATTTTGTTAGTCTTATATTATTCTGAATTTATAAGCGAGAATCGACAGCAAAACACGAGATCCCTGTGTACAATAATGTGCGTATTTCTCGTAGCAGATTTTCATAAACTAGTATTTTGAAAATCCTTCCAGTGTAAGTATGTAATAATTTTTTCTTTAATTGAAAAGTGTTTATAGAAACAATGTCAGAGAGAGAGAGAGAGAGAGACCCCCTTTCGGATAAATCTAAAAATAAAAAATCTTCGTTTTATAATGTCCAAGAGTATTTCTCGTAACAGACGATTGTCTATATCTTTTCATAAACTAGTATTTATGCTTTTGTTTTAAAATCCATTCAGTGTAAGTATTTAATACGGTAAGTTTTTATTTAAATGGAAAGTGTGTAAAGAAACAGTGTCAGAGAGAGAGAGAGATTCTTATGAATTTAATTCTTCGTTTTATTTACATTACCAAAGTCACAATTAATCATTCTAGAATACTATTTAAATTCCGTAACTTCGTTCATATTCAACTCAGTTACAACATGTATTCAATCAATTTGTTCTCCGTACATGTAACACCCGAAATCCTCGTGCTCTACCTGTCAATCAAAAATCGCAGCTAGATGGCCCTGAAAGTTTGCTTACGCGGAAAGTATTTCTCTTGTGATTTGAAACATTCTTATCGTCAGTTCCGAGTTTACACCTTTCTTTAAAATATATTGGGATACAGCCGGAGGGCCGGAGCGCTGTGTGTTTATCACACCTTTCAAATTCTTTCGTCCTGACCATATCATGTGTATAACTCACTCAAGTGACTTCCAGCCGAATTCATCTACCGGGTTACACCACCAGTCCACCAAACGTGTACTTTGACTTGATTTTAAACTTACTTGTAAAATATCCTTTTCAGACACATATAAACCATGTAAACATTTAATCAGTTAGATTATGACTGTTTTATTTTCACAAAAACGTCACATATAAATCCACAGACTTTCGATTAATTTTTAATTAGCTGAATCATATCGCTTTCTACAAGTGGAAGGGGGGGGGGGGTAATAAACATAATGCATGTAGCTTGAAAGAGGCTAGGTATTTTTTTTTTTAATTTATAACTTCACATTTTCTTCCTTAACACCATAATAATACTTTGACCATGAGAAGCTTAATTTGCTCTACACAGCCCCGCTCTACATTCGCTAAATGATTTTTTTTTCTCGCAAACCTTACGAGACATTTTTCATAAAATAATCTCAGAATAAGGTAATATTTGTACAGTAGTTGAAAAGCAGATTTGAGTTACCAAAAGTCGGCTTTGTGTGTGTGTGATATTTACCTCCATGTTTTACATGATTACAGATTGCAATAATCCTTAATCGAAAGTACATGATTGTATAATTCGCCGAGTAATAATCAGAGAACAGAGTTCATGTGTGTGTATCTGACACGTTTTTTGATTTTGTTTATTTAGATGCATATATTTTTACGTAGAAAATTATTTATGAAATAAACTATGCATCTGATAAATACCACATATGAATGCATATGTACGGTAAAAGAGATCTTGTTAGAAAAATGACTGTAATTTAAATGAACACAGTTATAATCGAGAGAAAAGACAACCAGGTAATTAATTTACGAAAGTGTATTCCTTCGTAGTATGATAATAGTCTGACTATTGAACATATTTTTTCTCTCGTATAGTTAGGTTTTTGAAACGTGACTTACATGGATGTACGTACACATTTTGAGGAGTTTGTATTTTGCTGTACAAGAGCACGTGGATCTTCGATTTTATGGTATCTTATTTGTTCAAATATCTGTTACAGTATATCGGTAAAAAAGTAGTAATTTTTAAGAAAAAAGTGAAAAAAAATCTGATTTCGAAGAAATTGATATAATTGATTAAATAAAGAAATGAAAAAATAAAAATAAAGATTTCTCTGAAATACTTTCAAAATGCTACTCGAACAGTTTTGATCTTATTTCAATATAACATGGCACACAAGTAAACTACACTAAGAAACATAAGTCTTTTTATCGGTTTTTGATTTTGATGAACGGTGTTGCCATGGTTACTAAAAATAGAAATTTCCTTGAAATACTTTCAAAATGCTACTCCCCCTACAGTTTTGGTCTGATTTCAGTATAACTTGGCACACAAGTAGAGTACACTTAGATGCTTAATTCTCTTTACCAGTTTTGGATTTCAATGAACAGTGTTGCCATGGTTACTTAGAATAGAAATTTTCTTGAAATGTTTTCAAAATGATACTCCTCCTACACTTTTTGTCTGATTTCAGTATAACTTGGCATACAAGTAGACTACACTGAGATACATAATAATCATTATTGTTTTTTGATTTTGTTGAATGATGCTGCCATGGTTACTTAAGTAGAAATTTCTGTAAAATTGTTTTAAAAGGCTACTCCTCCTACAGTTCTAATCTGATTGCAATAAATCTTGCCACAAAAAGAGACTAAACCAAGGATCATTGTTCTATTTATTGCTGTTGTTAAGTTTCAAGTCCAAGTGATACTTTTATCTTCCTTTATAAGTACAACCAGTAGAGCTACGGTCTCATTAGAGACTTCTGGTTATTGAAGGTACATAGGATGACAGTTTTATATGGATGGTAGAGTGGCAGTTTTATATTGAAGGTAGAATGGTCACAGTTTTATTTTGAGAGTATAGTGACATTTTATTTTGAGGGTATAGTGACTTTTTTTTTTTGAAGGTCAGTGTATGAGGAAAAGTGTTCTACATGTACTAAAGCTAAACAATGCATAGCCAAAATGCATTTTGGAGAATTTCAGACAAAACTAAGATTAATTAAAGCTTGTTCCTTTTCATAAGAACTTAAAGAATTAAAAACATATTTCACTTTGCACTCTGTTAGCTTACCTGAGGCAATTTTTAGCTGAAAGCTGTTTAAATGAACTTGTCCCTCCATTATCTGTCTGTTATCTTTAACATTACACATTTCTGTTTTTAAACTCTGCTGAAGAAGTTCCTTGTATTATTGCCAGTGATTTGTGGGTGGATGTCCCAAGCTTTTAAACAACATGTCTTGAATGCATTGCTGTGTGAATTGTTGCTCTGTTATGAAAACTGTAGAATTAGTTCCAGATCCAGGTGGGGCTAAGTTTGTCATATATCAAGAGAAACTTGTGATTCTCAGATGATGTCAACACTCAGTGGCTTATTACCGTATTTTCAATTTTGACTAAAAATGTCACGTGTATACAACTTTTATTCACAATTTGTCAGTTTCAAATCTAATTGCAATGACTAATTTTTGCAACTGAGGAAATTTCCTACATAAATACACAATTAAATACAAGTTCATGGCAAGAAATATTCACTAGTACAGTTAGTCATGAAACTTATGGAAATTTCTCACATGCCAGTAAAGGTTGGGTTATATTAAATGGTAAACCAACTAAAATCTTAACATTTTCTTGATGATTTGAATCTCTTTTTCAGATGACATTGTGGAAGTGGAGTTGAAAACAAACAAGAACTGTGATAAAGATTCTCAGAAGAAGGTTTCCAGTATTATACAGTTTCACTGTAACCCTGGCCTGGGAGTGGTAAGTAGAGAGGGATATGTCAAAGAGGCATGGTAATTCAAATCACTAAATTGTTTGGATGTCTTATGTTCAGCACTAAACAGGTGCAGAAATTCTAATACTTGTCAGTGGATTTAAGGGGTTAATTTTTTATATGATTGAAAAACCAAGAAGAACTATTCTGGATACCATGAGCAAAGCTTTTACTGAACTTTTTTTTCAGAATGAACCTGAGTTTCTGTTTGATTCAGTGGACTGTACATACATGTTTACTTGGGAGAACCCTTTTACATGTGCACATCCCATTGTGTAAGTTTGCAACTTAAACAATCAGTTTGAAAAAAATGATAAATTATAATACGAATGGAACTGTAAATCAATTTGTATTTGTGAGAACTTAATTGTCTTGAGACTTTCTGCCTGCAAAATTGTTATTTTAACATATATTTCCTAACTATTTTGTGAAAATCAAGTCTTAAATATTTATAGTGTGAATCCACAACCTATTGGGGATAAGGCAACATCACATACCACATCATCAGGTGTCAAATCTAAAACTGTGGGCACCATTGTAGCTGTCTTCCTTAGTGCCATTGTTATATGTCTGCTTCTGATAGTGTTCCATAAGAAGGAGAGAAGGTTTGTGAATACAGTGTTTTTGACACAATCATATAACTATTGTGCATGCCTGTTAGTGTTAGAATGCACAAACACCTTGAATACATAATTCACTTAAAACCAGAGGGTACATGTGAGTTTGATGGTCTGCTTATTCCATTTTTGTTTTAAAGCCTGTTTGTTAGGTCTTTTGTTATTAGCTGAGGTGAGCTTATACTACTCTCAGTACCCGTGCTAGCATTCCCTACTGCCTCTGACTTGTATAACTCAGCTGAGTTGCTAGGTTAAACCTCTTGGAGCAAGTCCATTTCCAAATTATTGTTAGCCTTTTCAATTCAAAATTGACATTTGATCAATTAATATTATTATATCTCATTATAATTATTCTATACAACGCATTATCTGATTGGTTCTATTATCACGTGACAGGGCCATAAAACTTCATATTTCCCTGTCGTCGTCATGCTTTCCATCATATTCAACCTCTTCAGAGACCTAGTGCATTTTCCCGCAATAGTTATCGTTGGTTGAACGAAAACCTCTGAGAGTAGTTGACGTCACAATAGCCTGGGTTCACGTCACAAATCTGTAATTGAAATTGTTTCAGCAACACTATTTTAAAATTGAAAGTATATAAGAGTGATGCTGAATTTGAAGTTTATGTTTGTTTTTAAAGTTTTTGCTTGTTTCAGTATAATAAATAATTTATTGCCTGAATGTTCGGGAAACATGAAGATTTATTCAGCCAAGAAAAATCATATTCCCCTCGGACGAAGCCCTCGGGGAATATGATTTTTCTTGGCTGAATAAATCTTCATATTTCCCTCACGATCATGCAATAAATGTATAATGTCATGTGCTTATAGGATTTATGTCTGTGGTTGATTTGATATGCAAGACCATGTTCTACACACAAACAATTGCTAAAATGAGGCTGGCTACTGTCAAACAAGTACATGATACAAGGTTATTGAAATCTCTTTTAAAGTCAACTTTCTGAAAATTCTATTGCCAATACTATGACCTTGTTTGCAAATACAATCTGTAGTTAGATTGAATGTTGACTTAAGTTTTTTATACAAATTGTTAAGCCATTATTTTTATACTGAATTTTCTATGTATTTATCTGATTACCTGATCTGACAAGAGGCCTTTGGTGGGTGTGATTGGTCAACAAGGGGATGCTTACTCCTCCGTGGCACCTTATCACACCTCTGAAGTTTTCAGAGACCCATGTTTGCTCTGCTCAGAGTTTGTATGGTTTAATTGAACTTTTGTGCATGATAACTGTTTTTAGCTTACCTGAGCTGAAAGCTCAAGTGAACTTTTCTGATTACCCGTTGTTTGTTGTCCATCCGTCTGTCCGTCCGTCTGTAAACTTTTCATATTTTCAACTCAAGAACCACTGGGCCAATTTTAACCAAACTTAATACAAAGTATCATTGGGCAAAGGGGAGTTTAAATTATTAAAATAAAGGGCCAAGTCCCCTTACAAGGGGAGATAATCAAGAAAAGACAAAATAGGGTGGGGTCATTAAAAAATCTTTTTCTCAAGAACCACTAGGCCAGAAAAGCTGAAAATTATGTGGTAGACCTCCTGGGATAGTGTAGATTCTAAATTGTTCAAATCATGACCCCAGAGTAGGGCAGGGCCACAATAGGGAAACAAAGTTTTACATCGAAATATATAGGAAAAATCTTCAAAAATCTTCTTCTCAAGAACCACTGGACCAGAAAAGCTGAAACTTATGTGGAAGCATCCTGGGGTAGTGTAGATTGTAAATTGTTCAAATCATGACCCATGGGGGTAGGGCAGGGCCACAATAGGTATTACAAGGGGGGAAATCTGATAAAGAACAGCATGGTCAAAGTTACTCAGGTGAGCAATGTGGCCCATGGGCCTCTTGTTAATGTTCACATTTCATGCATTGATGATGCATCACGTTTTGGTGAGAAAATCTAAGGTCAGGATGTTTTTTTTTCTGGAGAAGATCATTTCCCAAGTAATTGTAATTACTACCCTCCTAAATAAGCATGATAGATTGTTTTGGACTAAGTCTTGTTTCTAATGTCTCCAGAAAATATTATTGTGATGAAATAAAATGTACATTTTACTAAACATTCAATTAAGATGAGTTGAGGTGATCGAGCTTTGTTTTCTTTGATATTAGCAGTGTACAAACTGAATATCATTTGCTTATTTGATTTGATTTTAAAATTACAAATGATAAGATTTGTACAAAGTTTTCTCAAATCTTGTATATATTGGTTTTTACCATGGACTAAGCTACATGTTATGAAATTGGAAGAAAATAAACAGTAATCTGCTCAAAAGTTGAAACAATACAGATATGGAGCAGAGCAAACATGGACCTCTAAAAACATCAGACGTGGGATCAGGTGCCATGAGGGAGTAAGCATCCCTTGTTGACCAGTCACACCTGCTGTGTGCTCTTTGTCATGTTTGGGTAACTTAAAAAGTCAGTAGACATTTCATTGTGAAAATATTGACCTAACAATTTGAATGAAAAATGTCAGTCAACATTTGACTTAATGATCGATTATTTTTCCTGACAAGGTCATTGTACCGACCACAGAATTTACAAAATATTGACTATAAATGAGGCTGTTTATATTCTTGTTTCATCAATTTACTTGTCAATAGCTTGCCACATTTTAGAAATTGTTTGTACTTAGAGCAGGCTCTTGCATATCAAATCATAGACATAAATCTATATTCAGGGGATAATAGTATATTGCTACATAAATAAGGGAAGTTGAAGATAGAAAAGTTGTAGTCGTCAGGTTTATCATAAAGTTTTGTTAAGTAAGCATTTTTGTTTTTAATTATAGAGATGCTGTGATCTCAAAAATAAGAGGTTTTACCAGAAAACATTCCGCTAGTTACAGATATACTGAGGTGAGTTTCACCATCCCTCAAAAGAAAAAAAAGGAGTGGAAATTACATTTGTTTATAGAACTATAGAATAAGCAGTTAAAACGTCAGACAGTAAATTTTGATAAAGTGTGCATATCTTTATTATCAGTACATGTTAATTTAGAAGTTCAAAGCTTGATCAAATCAAAAATAAGAGAAAGAGGCATTCAGCCATTGATTGGTACATGTACATGTAGAATTAGGTATTCAGACATTGATTGATATATGTATAGAATAAGGCATTCAGAACTTTGATTGTGTAGAATAAAGCATTCAAACATTGACTGGTACATGTAGAATAAGGCATTCAAACATTGACTGGTACATGTAGAACAAGCATTCTGAGAGTATTGCATCAGCAATACTAGTCCCCTACCGGCAAGTGTAATCTGGTTCCTGTTAAAACTTGAAAATGCCATAATTCCGTCGAAAATCAATGAAGCAGAATGAAATGCAAACTTGATCTATAACTCATCAAGGTTTAGTCACATACCAAAAATCAGCTCAATATCTGCAAGCGTTAAGAAAAAAATTGCGGAAAACCCTGAAAAATTGAAATGGACGTAATTCCGTCAAAAATCATTGAAGCTGAACGAAATGCAAAAGTGATCTGTGACTCATCAAGATACACTCACATACCAAAAATCAGCTCAATATCTGCAAGCGTTTAGAAAAAAAGTGCGGAAAACCAAATGGGACAGACTGACAGACAGACAGGGGGACAGTTAGATGGACAGACACGCAGACAGACCTACAGACTAAGAGGAAACCTATACTTCCCTCCGGTTTCACCAGTAGGGGACTAATAAGGCATTCAAACATTGATTGGTAGTACATGTAGAATAAGGCATTCAAACATTGATTGATACATGTAGAATGAGGTAATCAGCCCTTGATTGATACCTATAGAAAGAGGTATTCAAACATTGATTGATAATTATAGAATTAGGTATTCAGCCCTTGATTGGTACATATAGAATTGGGCATTGAAACATTGATTGTGTAGAATTAGGCATTCAACATCGATCAGTACATGTAGAATTTGACATTCAGAACAATATTTGGTACTTGTAGCATAGGACATTGAAACAGTACATGTAGAATAAGGCATTCAGTCATTAAATGACACATGCAGAATTAGGTTCATGTAGAAAATTATCACTCAGACTTTAGAATTAGATATGCAAACCTTAATCAATCCCATGCAGATAGTTGTGAAGGTTTATTTGATATATTAAGTTGTAATTATAGGTCTATTAAACATGCTTAAGCAGTCTGTTTCATAGTAACATAAAAATAAAGTAAAGATTACATCAGAAGGTGATATCTTGCCAATACTGACAATGACCAGACATAAGAGATACCGGTTGTGTAATAAGGTCTCCTTGTTTTCACAGTTACCATCCAGTGAAGAAGCAGATGATCTTCTTCCTGAGATCACTGCAAATGACCTTGGAATTGAAGGGTCAGTACAGACTTCTGCAAATGATGATGAAGTCAACATTTTACAAAATGAGGATCCTCCTCCTGTGAGCAGTTACCATGACGACAGTGATGAAGAGCTGTTAGCTTAATGACTGAAATCCTGAGATCCATATCAAACATTTACCGCTAATAATTGTGTGTGATGTTTACACTGGTGTCAGATGTGTGCTGTAGTAAAAGAAGTATGCATTAGTGACAGATATGTTCACTTGTGACAGATATGTGACTTGTACATTGGTGACATATTTGTGGTGTGCACTGGTGACAGATGTGTGACTTTGTGGTGTGCACTGGTGACAGATGTGCAACTGTGGTGTGCATTTTTGACAGATGTGTAACTTTGTTGTGTGCACTGGTGACAGATATGTGACTGTGTGGTGTGCACTGGTGACAGATGGGTAACTGTGTGGAGTGTTTGTAACTGTGTGGTGTGCACTGGTGACAGGTGTGTAACTGTGTGGTGTGCACTGGTGACAGGTGTGTAACTGTGTGGTGTGCACTGGTGACAGGTGTATGACTGTGGTGTGCACTTTTGACAGGTGTGTGACTGTGACGTATTGATGTGCAACTGTTGATGTGCACTTGTGACAGAGGTTACAGATTAGGAAATTGATGTGTGACTGATTTCTTTCATTTTGACCTCTTCTGCAGTGTAAATATTCTTAATTTTCTTAATGCTTTCTATAATGACAGTCTTGCTGTTTAAGTTAGATTATTATTATACTTGTATATGAAATGTCTTTAAATTGTATATATTTATTTATGTGCTGTGTCTAAATCTGCAGAAGAGCTGCCATTGCTATTGCCCAAGCATTTACTCTCACCCTGGGCTAAAGGACTTAATCAGCATCAATTTTTTTCATATAAATTTCATATTGCTGTATATTCTATACATAGATTATATAGGTTGAGTTTACAGATTACTGGCTTTTAACTTGTGAAGTCAATGATTTCAAAAGAAGAATGCTTGCAAAAGATAATCATGTATTTATCAGGTAAAAAGTTTTAGCCAAAAAATAATGAAAAGTGTCTTACCTCTTATCCTGGGAACCTAGGAGGGGACAAATTGATGTGATGTAATCAAACAAGTTAAACACATGATTATAAGTGTGTATCTTGTGTAAAGTAGTATTTTTGTTTGTTAAAAATTAAAAAAAATACATTTTTTAATGCTTTTGGATATTTCTGCAAAGAAATTTCTCAACTCATTAGCTTGTATTTTACATGATTGTACTTTCCTTGCTTATAAACATGTACAGTAGTGAATAACTAGAAATGAATTTCATGGAGTGTGGTTGAAAATTTCATATCTGATTGTACTGGAGTAATAATGGTGACTTGTGATAATTATGAACTTTATTTGTGGACCTTCTTTTAACGTTACTTGTGAACAAAGCATGAAGTTCTAAATATGGCTATCTGTGATGACAAAGTCATGTAAATGTTAACCATGATTATACTACTGCCTTGGTTTACTTTTATCATGATATTCTTTCTTTAATTTGGTTAATAGACCACTTTATAAGTGATATTGAGGAAATAAATTGTTAAAGGTGAGTTTATGTTGCTCTAGGTGATTCATTTATATATGTGCATACATACGTTTTAGGTCTTCTGAGTGTCTAAGATTGCTTGTGCCCCCTCAATTATTTTGTCAGTATGTACTATAAACTATATATAATTTATTGTTGTGCCTCCCCTCAAAAATGTCCTATGCCTTTTCAGCTCTTCTGAGCCAAAGGTTCAAAGAGCTAATGCTAGGGACATTTGTGCAGTGTGCATCAACTTTTTGGAATATGGGCCATATCCAGAGCTGCCAACCTTTACAAATTTGGTGCCAGACTAAAATATGCCTTACGATTTATGTATTTTTCCTTACGATTTCCGTTTCTCTCCATAAAAAGGTTTAAATACCTGTATTTTCATTATTTGTCTGCCTTTAGTTTTCACAATTCAAATAAAGTCATATAACTTATAACACTTACTTGTAATGTCATTTTCCATTTCTATGCTTACTTTTGATGTCAAACATTTTAACAAGAACAAAATGGAAAAATATCCAGTGACTGGGGGTCTAAATAGCCCATGGACCTATTCTTACGATTTTTTTTGTGATGTTGGCAGCTCTGCATATCTCAAGAACCCCTTGGCAAATTTTATCAAATTTGTCATAGAGTATCCTTGGTGTGGCTTTCACTTTTACATATTATAGGGATGTGAATTTTAAGTAAGGGTAGGTAATTTGATAATTTTTTTAAAAAAGTAGTGGATGCTAATTATCTTCTTCTTATGAACTACAGGGCATCACCAAACTTGCATATTATCATTAAACATCCAGTACATGGTAGATGGCAGCAAATTGTTCAAGGCATCACTCTAAGGAAAAGGGCATGGTCTCAAGGTCATTTAAAATTGACATTATATAATACTTTTTTAAAATTGATAAAATTGATATTTTGCAAACTATATTGGGGCTAGGATCATCAAAAAAATTTTCAGTTGATGCATCTTGGGACCTCATGTTATATTGACTCAAAAGTAGGTCACAGAAATTTGAGATTTCAGATACTGAGAGGTTTAGAATTATTCAGATTTCAGATACTGAGAGGTTTAGAATCATCAAACCTTTTAAGTTTATGCATCTTGGGGCCTTGGAACATATTTTTGAAAAGTAAATCACAGTGTCCTACATTTTGAATGTTGCAGGTATTAATTTTCTAATTTGTTAAGGTGTCTATTTTTGTGGCTCGCCAAATTCACAAGAAGTAGATAAACATAGTTTAACAGTTGATAAACTAGGTTTGTCCATTGTAAACTATAGTTAACGATTCGTTAATTATAGTTTTCATCTGTAAACTACATGTATATTTAAAGGTTGTAAAGTGTAGTTTACGAATGCTAATCTAAGTTTATCTGTCTGTAAATATAAACGTTAACAGTAGATTTTGCTGATAAATATAGATTCTAATTTGTGAACTATAATTTACATTCGTTAACCATAGTTAAGATTTGTTCATTATAGTTTCACAAACTGTGAAACTATATTTATCAGATAAACTATGTTTTACATTCGATAATTATAGATTTCGGTTGTAAACTATAGTTAACTGTCATTAATACTCATAAACTGTATTTAACAGACGTAAACTATACTTAACGATCGTAAACTATGGTTTTGAGAGATAAACTTTGATTCACATTTGCCAATCATAGTTTACTTTCATAAACTATAATTCACACTCGTAAACTATAGTTAAGCGTTGTTAGATATAGTTTATGAATCTAAACACCTGTTAACTGTTAATGATAGTTTTCAATCCAAAAATCTCGCGGCACCAATTGCTAGAGGAAATACTGAATGTGTGTCATTGCAGTAAGTTCTATATAAAAAAGAAACATTTAAACATAATAACTTGAGTAATTTCTCTTCTTGATAATCTTAAATTTATGTCAAGCTATCAACAACTCTTTTGATACCAGCAATGCTCAGTCATTATTGTTTGATCAGCGCAAAAGGTTGGAAAGACGGCAAGGATAAATGTCAGTGATTTATTTCGTTGCTGATGAAGACAAATTTGAATATTTACATTTGCAAATTTTTTTTTTTTTATATAACACTATTAAGGTCAAGATCTATTATTTACATTTGCAAATATTTTTCTTAGATGAACCTATAGAAGAGAAAATATGTTCAATTCTGTATGAACTTATTAGGGGGTCAGAGGTCATGGCGTGACCGAATCACACAGCGAGACGATATCTTGTCTACATATTTCTGTCACAGTGACACTGGTTTCGGAACTTCTGAACCGTCAAAGCGATGAAAAAGATAAAATTATTGACACATATATTTTTTTTTTCGTTCAACAAATGATCGTTAGATCTTTCTTCGGTGTGAAGAATGTTTCTAATTAGCCTAAAATCACGCTTACCTCTTTAACCCGAAATTCCTTTGAAGGTATGTAAACTGAAGACGATAGCACCGCTTTTGACTTTATATATAAAGAACTCGTACAATAATAGTAAGATAATTCCCAGTAGCGATCATTGTTTTTTCATTATGAACAGATATTTCCTGAACTGGACTGCTAAACATCAATGTAAGTATTCAAATGTTGGAGCGAGGCGAACTCTCAAGACCAAACAACTTCTAGGTCATTGCGCGTCACAACATAGCAATACGGCGGGCCGTTCGTGTAATAAATGCAGTCCTATTCAGAATATTCGTCTCAAATGTAAATAAAAGTAATAAACAACAATGTTAAAAAGTTCTCTGGGAAATGAACTTGGTTGGTACGTGATCAAATCTTCTGAGAAGCCCTTCGGGCTTCACAGGATTTGATCACGTGACCAACCAAGTTCATTTCCCAGAGAACTTTTTAACATTGTTGTTTATTTCTTAAGTAAATGAGTTTGACTGTCTTTTTTGGTGCTAGATCCATTATGACGTCATAATAGATTGAAACTTAATTTTTCCCGTACTTTATGGCTGTAATAAAATTATATAGAAATGAAACATTTTCATGGAATTCAATTTGAAATCATGTTAAAAGTAACCCCGATACCTATATTAAATTTAATATCATTTTAAAGCAGAGATCAAAAAGATACGAAAACCTGTTTTCTGGGAGACTGTAGGCAATCCGAATACATTTCCTTTCTCCGAGTTGGAAAAAACTTCGAATTTTATACCTGACTTCTTTCATTTTTCATTGAAAATGTCACTTTAATATATGTTTTTTATTGAGTTTTTCTAAAAATTATGTCCCGATACACCTTATTTTACCAAGCTATATTTGTAAAGGATCAATAAAAGAACTTGTTTTTCAAATCTGAAAAATCTGTAGGCACCTTTCATTTACTAGATCTTGACCTTAAAAGCAACGCGTATCTATATCCATATAAACACGGGTTCCTTGCGTCATAAACGTTCGACGTAATTTCTCAGTGACGTCACAAAGGGCCGACGCACAATCAGAGGATCAAACACGTGCCGTTGGGTTTGAAAAATAAAACGTTTCATGCGTTAAAGATTATAATCAGGCAAATATAAAATATGAATAAGTCACAAATGTAAATATAAGTAATAAGGTATCATTTTAAGACATCTATCGGGCTATAAATACGGGTTGGTACGAGATCAAATTTACGGGCTTTATGGAATTTGATCTCGTGACCAACCTGTATTTATATCCCGATAGATGTTTAAAAATGATACCTTATTTCTTAATTACAAACCGTCAAAATGCATTTTTCCTATCTTTCTCTTTTAAATAAAACATACATGTTAATAATTTTTCTGTCATTTTCTTTTTAGTTCCCAGTAGATTTGCTTTAAAATGAAAGAAATTTTACTTTAAATGTCAACAAGAAATATATATATTTTATTTAACAACCAATGAAAAAAGTCGTTGTATAGCTAAATCTTATCATGCTGTAATTAACCTATCTATAATTTAACTATAGTTTTAATCGTAAACTATACTTCAGAGTCGTGAAATATAGTTTTACAGAAAACTGTGTATCTCTGATACATAATCATGGATTCTGGCCGTAAACTGTGTTTCTTAACTGTAAAACTATATTTATCACAAATTTGTGAATTTGGCGCCTGAAATATTTGTAAGCTATAGTTTACAACTGTAAATTATAATTAACATACGTTAACTATAGTTTAGAGTTGTAAACCATAGTGTACAAATCGTGAAACCGTATTTATCAGATAAACTATGTTTTGCAATCGCAAATGATTGTTTTCGGTGTTAAGTATAGTTTACATTTGTGAAACATAGATTAAGGCGTTAACTATGGTTTAGGGATATGAAATATAGATTAACGTCGTTAACTGTGGTTTACGGTCCGTAAACTCTAGTTTACAGTCGATAAACCTAGTTTATAAACTGTGAAACTATGTTCAGCTCATTTTTGTGAATTTGGCGTGTCATATATTTTGGACACTGTGAAGCCTAGGATCATCAAACCTTGTCAGCTGATTCAGTTAAGGCTTTGAACAGAGTATACTCAGAGTATATCAACCAAAAATTTTAAATCAAGTGATCTACTTTTGGAATTTCATGGCTAAATCTTAATATTTCAGATACCGAGAATCACCAAACTTGTCAATTGGTGCATCCTGGATCCTCAGAGTGTGTCAAGTAAAACATATGCATGGGTCACATTGACCTATTTTTCTTTCACTTTTAAGCGTTTAATATTTAAGATCCTAAGAGGTTTAGAAGCATAAAAATTTGTCAGTTGATACATCTTTGGTCCATGGACTTTGTCATCTAAAAAGTAGATCATCATAGCATACTTTTGGAATTTCATGTTATATTTCAATTTTTAAGATAATATAATGATACGCATTGAAGTGGTAAAATTTTTTCTTCGGAACATTTGGGTTTCTCTTATCAGACAATTGTTACATAATGACACGCCCACTCCTTTGAAAACGAGAAAGCAATATTCATTACAGTGTTTTAATTAAGACATCCTACTCTCTACGATTAGCAACGAAATGGGGATTTTATGAAGTAAGGAGAAAGAGTTAGAGAATC